GTGTGTGTGTGTGTGTGTGTGTGTGTGTGTGTGTGTGTGTGTGTGTGGGAAGGGGGGGAGGTTTGTTTTTTTTTAAACAGAAGAAAAATAACTGTCGTGAGGACAGTGATGCAAAGTGGTCTTTCACCCATTCTTTCTCCTTATTAAATTGTTCAGATTTCTGTCCTGCTTCATAGGATTCTGAGAAACTCAACCATCAATACTCACATGCTTACTGACATCTCTGCATGCTTTCACTAAGTTAGAAAGTGTGTTGCTTTGTAACAATATTTGACAATCCATTACCAGTTAAATTGTGTACTTTTCCTTTCCTTTCCTTCCTACCTGCTTCCTTGCCCCAGGCTACAGAAACCGACAACAAAATTGAAATATGTACCCGAGCCTACCATCTTCTTGTTAAAAAAGTGGGATTTAACCCAAATGACATCATCTTTGACCCCAATATCCTCACCATTGGGACAGGAATGGAAGAGCACAACCTGTATGCTGTTAATTTTATCAATGCAACTAAAACCATCAAGGTAAGCTGTGGAAATTTCTATTTCTTTCTTATTCTTTGTTACAAGGAATGTCTTTCTAGGTAGGGGAGGTTATATTTGGAGATAAAAGATATCCATTAAAAAAAAAGATTGAGGTGGATAACGAGTGGGAACATATGTCTGAGTCGTGATGTATTCTGAAAGTTTTTAGCAGAGATTTCAAACTCTTTCAGCACCTGCATTGGACCAGATCAGAATATAATAGGAAAATGTTTAACAAAATAAATAAAAATGTAATACAACATAGATAACATAAATTTGTGGTTTTCTAAGTTAATATATGGCCTACAGGGATCCCTTTCTATTTGAGTTTGATAGCACTGGTTAATAACACTCCAAATCAAATAATGAAGCTGCCCTGTGGAGTGCTGATTTCTAGGGTTTTCCATTCCTTCCCATGCTTAGCTGCCCCCCTACTCCTTTGAAAGCATCGCTCCTCCGCAGAGCTTCTGTGACTCAGGCAGTACAAGAAGGTCTGCTGCTATGGAATGGAGTCAAAGGCTCATCTTAGAGGTCATCTAATTCAATCCCCCACTTTCCATATGAGCAAATTGAGTCCCAGTTCTTAAGTGACTCACCCAAAGTCAAACATATAATAAAGAGGCAGAGGCAAGATCAAACGTAGGTTCCTGTGACTCCCAATATGTCTCTTTTTTTGCTGTACTGTTCTGTCACCCTTGGATTGGTCAACTTTTGTTTTGTCCTTATTTGATGTTTGTCTCTTACGCAAGGACAGAAGTAGCAGTTTAGGCGGAATGTGATAGCTCTTTAGAGGTATCTCAAAGGCTATCATGTGGAAGAAGACTTAATCAATCAATCAATAAACATTTGTTATGTGTCTACTGTATGCCGGGTCTTGTTCAACATGGCCCCAAAGTGGGGCAGAGCTAGGAGCAATGAGGGGAAGTTGTCAGGAGGTTGATTTTAGGTTCATGTAAGGAAAAACTTGTTAATGATAAGAAGTATCCCAAACTGGAATACCTTCAGAAGTTGTGAGTTTCCCATCACTAGATGTTTTCACAGAAAAAATGGATGAACACTTGCCAGATATGTTGTAGAAGAGATTCTTGTTCATATCTTGGTTGGATGAAATGGCTTCTGGGGTCCCTTCCAACTCAGTCATTCTGTGATAAAATGCTGAGGAAAATTATTAACCTATCACCAAGTGTTTGGCATCCTACTAGAGGCTATAAACATATGCACCTTCTTGGGATCAGCAGGGGTTTTCCTTCACGCTGCTGGAATTCTCACTGAAGTATTTTTTATGAAGCTGTAATGCCCTTCAAATATGCCATCACATTAGGATAATTAAACTGACACTAATTAAAGGAAGCAATGTTCCTGAAATGTGGTGCAGCAAAAGCCTTCCTCAAGTAATGTGGTCTTACGAGAGACCTTTTGGCAGAAGCATCATCAGTCTGGGAAGCACTGTGTCCACACCTCAATCGGCAGAAAGTTGTAAGGAAGTCTAAAGGGCCAGCTTCATTTAAGAAATTTTTTCTCCTTTGGAAACTTGTATGAAGTGGAATTCAGTGTGTTCAGATAGGGTCCATCTTCATTTCATCTCCATGTTTGCTTGAGAGATGATTGCACAGAGGAGTTCTGCCAAGTGCAAAAGTAATGTAGTCATGAAAAAAAGGCATAACCTATGGAAAAAAATGACATTTTAACTCAGAAACCCATGCACAGGTTGCTCATCTTTTTGGTTCAAAGCAGTTACTGTCCCAGTACCTTCATACCCACTCTTGACAAGTATAGTAGACTAGAAGGCCAGTTTTTCCAATCCTTCTTGTCAAGCAGGGAATCCTTTCTCCAGTAGTTTGTATTTTTAATTTTTACTAAAAGTCTGGGCTTTTCAGTTCATATCCTTTTGCATCTTGCTTATTGACTTGACTAAGTGACTGCTTGTTTGTTCCACTTATCTTCTTTTCCATTCCATTCAATCAATACCCAATGGTGACTGCTTTATAATGTCATTTGAGGAATCATAAAGCTAGATCCGCTTCATTCTTACTTTTTTCATCATTTCTCTCGAAATTATAGATGTTTTTATTTCTCTAAAAGTGAATTTTATTTTAGCTAGTCTTGTAATTCCGTGGTAGCTTAATTGATATAACATAAATGTGAAAATTAATTTAGATGATGTATCAATTTTATTATGTTGGTGTGGCCCAACCATGAACATTGAGTATCTCTCCAATTGTTCAAGCTTCTGTAGAATTTTTAGTTGTATTATTGAGTTTGCTTTTGTAGATTAACTCAGATATTTTATACCTTTTGTAGTTAGAGTAGATTTTCGCTTTTTGTCATTTACTCCTGATTTTTCTTTAGCAGTATACAGAATTGCTGATGATTTTTGTGCATTTATTTTCTATCGTGTTACTTTACTAAAGCTAGAAATCATCTTAGTTTTTTTTTTTTATCAAAAGAAATTCCTTTTCTGCTGCCTCTCTTAATGGCTGTATCAGATTGAATGAGGATAAAAAATAAACTGCATCACAGAGATGCAGGCTTTCTGATAAATACAGGGAAGACTTGCCTTTCCTTTTGTAACATTTCCTGCTAAATAGGGATTCACATCTGAAAAAAATCTCTTCTTCCTTCTGGTTCATGTTTTACCTTTTGGGTCAAAATAGCATTAAGCAAGGATAGCAAAGAGGTAAGCAGTACTTATTATTTAAGTAAACACTCTACTTAGGGATTTGGGAATGATATTTCCTTATTTTTTTTTTTAATAAAAGTAAAATGCTAAGTATTATTTTCTAAATGGGTTCTGTAATCCCCTCTGCTACAGCATTAGTAATTATCACCTGAGTATAGTAGATCTAATTTTTTTTGATTATGCAATAGTCCCTTCAGGACTGATAAAAGGAAGACCCTTTGAAAAAAGGCACAGTGGCTAATAATGTGTAGTGACATTGGGGCGGGGGATTGTGAGTTGGTTCTGGCAAGAGGATGGATTTCACTCATTTCACTGGTTTACTTCTCCTTTTGATGAGTCATCACTTTAGAATTTGTGAGCCTTCTCTTTCTCACATGTTTTATTATGTGTTAGTATGAGTTTGTAATGAACTTTCTAATTTGCCTGTAGCTTTTAATAGCTTTTTTTTTTATGCATCATGTTTATCTGTGATGGATGAGCTTCATGTCATCAAGAAGTCTACAATTTAGTAAGAAAAAGTTGTTTTGAAACATTGATGTTTTTGGTATGACTGTCATTGATTTCTTTTTTGTCCTAAGAAGCTCTAAATTATGAATGGTATTTTTCCTTTTCTGAGAGGCAGCATGGCATAATGAATAGAGGGCTGGTTTCAGAACCAGGTTGAAATCCCATCTGTGACACTTATTGTGTGACCCTAGGCAAGATACTTAACCTCTAAGACTGTAAACTTCAGAGAAGGTCCTTCCCTTCATCGTTAGGAAGAGTTTCCTTACCTGAGAGCTCACCCATGAAATCATAGCTCAGTCCTCATGTCTAATTTTCTTTTTACTTCCCCATCCTTATGAAGAGAAATGAATCATATACTTGTTAGTTGACAGACCTTATTAAGTTTCATATTGTTGGCAGAAAACATTGCCTGGAGTCAAAATAAGCGGAGGCCTTTCCAACTTGTCCTTCGCCTTCAGAGGAATGAACGCCATCCGAGAAGCCATGCATGGCGTATTTCTTTACCATGCAATAAAGGTATGTGGTGAGGCCCGGTTGTCCTGCTGAGCACCAGCATGGAACTTGACTATTCCTGGGAACCCTGACTCTTCTTTTCATTCTCCTCAGTGTGGTATGGACATGGGAATAGTGAATGCAGGAAACCTTCCAGTGTATGATGACATTCACAAAGAACTCCTACAGCTTTGTGAAGATCTGATTTGGAATAAGGACCCGGATGCGACAGAAAAGCTGCTACGCTATGCCCAGGTAACTTCAGGTGGAAGAGGAGAGAAGAGTGTTCTGGAGAGCAATAAAATTAACTAAGTGGTGTAATCACTTGGCCTAGAGTCAGGGAGACCTGAGTTCAAATCCGGTCTCAGACAGTTACTAGCTGCTTGACTCTGGGCAAATCACTTAGCCTCTGTTTGCACCAGTTTCCTCATCTGTAAAATGGGTATAATAATGATACCTACCTGCTAGGGTTGTTCCAGTGATCAAATAAGATAATTGTAAAGTGCTTAGCCCAATGCCAAGGTCGAATGATTTGCACCAAGGTCACATAAATAGCCAGGTTGCAATTTGAAAGTAGGTCCTTTGATTTCATTTGACCTCAGTTGCCTTTCTAATGAACTAGGCACTTAATGTCAGAGAGAGAGAGAGAGAGAGAGAGAGAGAGTGTGTGTGTGTGTGTGTGTGTGTGTGTGTGTGTGTGTGTGTGTAAATAAAGGGGACATTTTAGTCCCTCTGTAGAGGGACTTGCTTCACAAAAGCTCACAGGCTATTAAACTGAGACAAAAAAGGATCAGGATGCTGGTAAAGGAGTAGCAAGATGCTAGTATAAATGTTGTTACTGTTTTCTAAGCAGCAATCACTTGTCAGCCCCCCAGTGCACATAGTAACTATTCCCTTTTCTCCGGGGCAGATGGACATAGGTTCGCAGAAAAGGAAATCAAGAGGACTGCAGACAGGTAGCAGGGTTCTTGCTCTTTCAGTCCTAGTAACTGAGAAAAATTGGATTTCTAGAGTTTTGCTTAGGGAGTGCTGCATTGAGAGAAGCGCATTGGAGTTCAGATCATGTAGGCAATTGAGTTTCCTCTGAGTTCTTTCTCTGATGGCTGCAGGCCAGAGCGCCCTGGTGTTGGTCATTGTGAATTATAAGTAGCCATTTCTTAGCTTGTGTCAGTTTGCCAGATGAGAAAACCAACTTGGCAGAAACATTTTTCCCCCTCCTTCCAACACACTGTATTTACTACCTCTGTTCACAGTGATCCCAGGCTTTCTTCATGCTTTCGTAGTAGAGACCATATGAAGGTTTTCATTAATGCTGAGATACTAAATAGCATTCTGTTATTGGTTGCAGCAGTCCTCGATGAGACCTTTCTTTGATAACTCACTGAGTAAACAGGCAATGTCAGCCTGTTGTCAGAGGCTGGAAAGTGGTTTAGATTCTTTGGCTTGACCTTGGGCCAGTCAAAGTATTCTTAATTGATTATTGCATGTCTCCTTTTGTGTGTGTGTGTGTGTATGCGCGCGTGCACGCTAGGCAGTGGGGTTAAGTGACTTGCCCAGGGTCACATAGCTAGTAAGTGATATGTGTCTGAGGCTGGATTTGAACTCAGGTCCTCTTGAATTCGGGGCCGGTGCTCTATCCACTGTGCCTCCTAGCTGCCCCACACGTCTTCTTTCTTACCCCACCTTGTTGTATGAGATAACCCTTTCATTTCAGAAGGATAAACATGGAGCACCTTATCATTGTCATTATTTTTATTAATAACAGACATTTTTTATAATTCTTTAAGGATTCCAAAGCATTTTACGTATCGGTCATTCAGTAAACATTTATTAAGCGCTTGCTATATGCCAGACACTGTGCTAAACACTGGGAATACAAAAAGAGGCAAAAGACTGGCCTTGCCTACAAGGACCTTACAGTCTGATGGGATATTATCTCATTAGAACCTTATAACAAAACCTGTGAGATAGGGGCTATCTGTTAGTCCCATTTTACTGATGAGGAAACTGAGGATCCGAGAAGTTGACTGATTTGCCCACGTTCACACTGCTAGTACATATTTGAGGTGGGCTTTAAACCTGGGGTCTCCTTGCCTTTTTTAAAAAAAAAATTAATTTATGGGATAAAACAAGCATTTCCATAACATAGTATAATTTTAAAAGATGATTGCATATGAAACTGTATATATATTATATACAACTTGCTACTCCTTTTGAAGTTAACATGTAAATTTCTGTTCCCTGGCTGTGCGCTGCCCCCCCCATTACCACCCTAGACATGATGTTCATCCGCTATGCCATACTAACTCCTTGAGTATAAGACGAGTTATTATAAACTTTTGAAGTACAGTTCTCACTCTGAATTATTCAAGACATGTGGTATTGTTCTCTCTTCCTTTCCTCATTTCAGTTTTAGGCTCTTGTTTACCAGTTTTCTTTCCTGTGTATCTTGATGAGCTGTCAGGAGATAGAGTCTCTAGAGGTACAGGCAGAGTTGAGGGGACCCTAATAGACATTCCAAGAGCTGCAATTCATCATAAGAGAAATGGCCTTGTTCTTCCTGATGGAACTATGGCAGCTTGTTCTGTGCCATCAAGATCGCTGTCAGGTAGCTCCTCTCCATTCAGGGTGACTTCTATTAATGTTATGGGACTTAATAAGGCAGACAGACATATTTTAACAACCCCTGGGAGCCACTGGCTAAGTAGCATTTCTGTAGGAGGCACTAAGTACAAATGGAGCATGAAAAGTGGGAATGTAGTAAAGCAGATGAAAGTCATTGGGGTTTTTTCCCTGCTTCCTTGAGGGAATGATTATCTCCTTTCAAAAATGAACTTATCTCAATACTGGCCCTGCTGTTCACGTCTCCTGCCTGGTTTGTTGTTGTAAACACTGAGAAGAGTCCTGTGCTCCATCCTCCAAGGTCCTGTAGATCCTTTCTTTAATTAGCATTAAACTGTATTGCAAAAGATTTAAAGTAGTCCCAAAACAATGTCAGGACCCAGGCTGATGAGGAGAAAACTCTGTGGTAATGAGATGTTCTAATATCCAGCATTGGAGAGGCAGAATCATGTAGTGGATAAAGTGTGGGCCTTAGGGTTCAGAATCCATCAATCAGTAAGTGTTTTATTAATTAAGTGCCTGCTACGTGCCAGCATTGGGAATAGGTATATAAAGAAAGAAACATTCCCTACTCACAAAGAGCTTAAGAGTCTAATGGGGGAGACAGCAAGTACATATATAAGCATAGAGAGCATGAATATAAAGTGGATAAATGTAAATATAAACAAAATAGTTAAAAGCAAGATAATTTGGGAGAGTACTGTCCAACGCATTTACAATGCATTCTAGATTTATGAAGAGAAGATGAGGAAAAAGAACTAAAATAGCTTATTTCCTGTGAGAGTGAATTTAACTATTTGGAGGAGAAATATAAAGATCCTTGAGATTTTAATCATTTTACTTGTTTAATAATTTTGACTAAATTGAATGATGCAGAACTCCTTATCAATTATCTCTTTATTGTGAGGGTTCGAGGTGGTTTTAACTGATCTTCCACACAGTTAAAATATAAGTAATATGTCTATTTCATTAATGATTTCATTGTTAATAAATTTTGTATTCAGTAATTTCAATATTGAATTATCAGAGGTTAAGAGATTTAATAGAAATATGAGTATTTACTTTTAGGAAGGGAAGTTTCTACAGTTTGTTTATTAAATAATATTTGATAAAACTGGGTATTGTTTCAGCCAACTGATGAAATAGTTAGAAAGAGGTTGTAATTTTATTAATTAGAAAGAAAATATCCAAACACACTCCTAGATTACCATAGAATTTGGGATGATAAAATTACATATGAGAGTAATTGAAGTAGCAGCTGAAGGGTGATATTCAAGTGAGGTTGGTAGACCTGTCCCCTGCCTTGAAATGTTGATGTCTTCATGCCTCCCTTCCTCTTTTCCCTTACCGATCAAATCCTGTGAGTTTTAATTTCATTGCTTATCCAACTCTTCTGTTTCATTTTCACCAGTGCTCCCTCTTTCCCCAGCCAAGCACACAGTTCATCCTTTCATCACCTCATGCCTATGATGGCTTCCCTATAACCATTACCTATCCAGTTGAGACACTTCTGCTAGATTAATTTGCTTTTTTAAAAAAATAGTCTTTTTTTGTTAGCACTTAAATATTCAGAAACATGAACATTTCAGAATACAAAATAAAGAATAAAAAAAGAGGACTGGGTATGTCTATGGAAGATGCACTACTAAACTGAAGGTTCCAGCCTCCAACCTTGTTGAGTTGATAGCTACTTTACCTAGTTTTTGTCTTCATTTCAGATTTATGGCAAAGGAGGGAAGAAAGCCATCCAGACAGATGAATGGCGGAATGACCCCATCGAGGAAAGACTGGAGTATGCCCTTGTTAAGGTATGTTAGGAGAACAGAGCTTCACTGGGTTGGAAGGAAGTACAGAGAGCGCTCATAGGTAGGACGTTCCAAAAGTCTGAAGGCCGTTTTAATGGGTGAACTGCCCTCAAACTTTGAGGACACCCCACGTATAAGCGTGGTCTGCTCATTTGCATGATCATTGGTGGAGGAGTCTCTTGGTGTTCAAGAAAAAGGAGCTAATACAAGGAATCCATCAGGAAATTCACAAATTTTCCTGAACACTTAATTCGTGCATGGTGCTGTGACTATATCTGATGCCTAATTTTTGCAACTCTTAGGTGTTATTTAATATTTCTCTGGCAGCAGTGTTTTTAAAAAGTCAGTGCTGTTTGGTATTTTGTAGTCCTTCACTTCCTACTGCCAGAGACAGGTTTGAGTTATAGGATCACAGAATTTTAGAGTGGAAAGGGACCCCAGAACTCATCCACAGTGGTTCTCGCAAACCTTTTCATCCCTTCTCAAACCTCCCATTGCTTCCCTTTGCCTTGCCCTTTTAGCTTAGTTCTTTACCTCATATTTTATGTAAAAAATTGAGACTGTGAGTTCCCTTTTCTCCCCCTTCCTCATCTCTTATCACACAGATGCCTTCTACTGCTGTTTCCTCCTTCACCCCTGTCTCACATGATGAAATGGCCTTACTCCTCACCAAGGACAACCCTCCACTTGTTCAAGTATTCCCATTCCAGCCTGTCTCTGCCAGCAGATCACCCCCTCTGTCATCTCTACTCTTTTCACTTATCATCATCTCTCCCTGTCTGTTAGCTGTATCCATATTGCCTGCAAACATGCCTATATGTCCTTCATCCTTAGTAACTAGACTCCTTGAAAAGGCCTCTATTTTTTTTCTTCTTAACCCTTTACAGTCCAGCTTCTGACCTTATCATTCCACTGAAGCTGCTCTCTTCAGAGTTATCAGTAATCTCTTAGTTGCCACATCCAATGGCCTTTTCTTAATCCTTATTGTCCTTGACCTCTCTGCAGCCTTTGACACTTTGATCACCCTCTCCTCCTAGATAAATTCTTAACTTTGAGGACAGTGCTCTCTCCTGGGTGTGTTTACCTGTCTACTCCTCAGTCTCCTTTGCTGGGTCCTCATTACGCCCTCTAATCCTAGGCAGTGTTCTGTCCTGGGCCCTCCTCTCTTCTTCCTCTATGCTCCTCTACTTGGGGGCAGCTAGGTGGCGCAGTGGATAGAGCACTGGCCCTGGAATCAGGAGGACCTGAGTTCAAATCCAGCCTCAGACACATAACACTCACCAGCTATGTGGCTCTGGGCAAGTCACTTAACCCCAATTGCCTCGCAAAAAAAAACAAAAAAAAACCAAAAAAACCCCCAAACAAATAAATAAATATACTACTCCACTTGGTGATCTCATCAGCTCCCATAGATTTAATCACCACCTCTATGCTGATGACTCTCAAATCTTCCTATCCTGCCCTATCATCTCTGCCGACTTCTCGGCTTACATCTCCAGCTACCTTTCAGACATCTCAAACTGGATATCTAGTAGACATCTTAAATTAAACATGTCCAAAATGGAGCTCATTATCTTTTGAACCCTCCTCACCTCCATACTTCTGTATTATTATAGAAAGCAACACTATCCTCCCATCCCTTAGGCTTGCAACCTAGGAGTTATCTTTTGTTCTTCATCTCTCTCACCCTCACCTCCCCCCTTGTCCAATCTGTTGCCAAGACATAAGGTTTCACCTCTGCAACAAGTCTCAAATAAACTCTCTTTTCTCCCCTGACACTGCTACCACTCTAGAGCAGGCCCTCATCACCTCATTCCTGGATTATTCCAATAGTCTGCTGTTGGGTCTGCCTGCTCAAGTCTCTCCCCACTCCAATCCATCCTCCACCAAATCACCAAAGTGATTTTCTTAAAGTACAAGTCCAGCTGTGTCACTCCCCTACTCAGTAAACTCCTGTGGCTCCCTATTGCCTCCAGGATCAAATACAGAGTGCTTTGTTTGGCATTCAAAGCCATTCATAATCTAGCCCTCTCCTGTCTTTCCAGTCTTCTTACACTCTGCTTCCTGCCGAGTACTCTTTGATTCAGTGATATCAGCCTCCTGGTTGTTTCAAGAACAAGATCCTCCATCTCTTGACTCTTGGTATTTTTTCTAGCTGTTCTTCTTGGGTCGAATGATCCCCCTCCTCGACTCCACCTACTGACTTCCCTGGATTTTAAGTCCCAACTAAAATCCCACCTTCCTTAGGAAGCCTTTCCCAACCCCTCTTATTTCTAGTGCCTTCTCTTCTCTCTGTTAATTATCTCCTATTTTTCCTGCATATAACTTGCTTTGTGTATATTTGTTTGCATGTTGGCTCCCTGATTAGACTGTAAGCTCCTTGAGGGCAGGGACTGTCTTTTGCCTCTTCTTATATCCCCAGGGCTTAGCACTGTGCCTGGCACGAATTAGGTACTTAATAATTGTTTATTGTTTGATATTATCAAACTCCCATTTCCATAGGCAAGTAAACCACTGTGCACAGACTTGCCCAAGGTCACACGTGTGGTTAGTGGTAAAGACTAGACCAAAAAGCTTGTCTCTTCCTCTCCTAGTCCTGTCTTTTGTTGATTACATCCCACTTTTCCTCTTAACTCCTACACCTGATGTCTTGTGTTTTGCTTGCTTTTCATCTGGGTGGCTTTGGGCCTGGCAGTCTGCTTTGTACCTTATTCATTCTCTGCCCTTAGTCCCTTAACCTCTCTCAGTTTCCCCACATATGAAATTTTGGTGGGAAAGTTTCAGAAGTAATATCAGAATATACATGTATATTATTATATTAATTATATATGATTATTATATTTATATTAATATATTATATATAATTTCAGAAATAAACAATAAAGATATCAGAAATTTAAAGTCTTTAAGGCTACTACTAGAAGACAAAGCAGGCTTTGTTGTTTTTGCTTAAAATTTGTATTTTGGTATTCACTCTCAAGTCCTCAGAGAGCCTTCGATAGAACTGAGTTTTCACATATGATTGTTAAAACTCTGTTGAACTTTTATTTTATTTTATAGTCAGTGTTTCTGCATTGTTTTTCTTCTTTCAGGGCATTGAAAAATATATCGTAGAGGATACTGAGGAAGCAAGAATAAACAAGGACAGATATCCCCGACCTTTGAACATAATTGAAGGGCCGCTGATGAATGGCATGAAAGTAGTTGGTGACCTCTTTGGGGCTGGAAAGATGTTTCTTCCTCAGGTTGGCAAAAGAATCGGGGGCAGAGGTGGAGGTGGGGGCAGGCGGCAGTAGAAATCCTTACATTGTTGTCATTTCCTTGTCTTATGACCAATAGTTACTTTGGAACAACTTCATTCAATTAATCAAGCCTCTGTTAAGGACCTACTATGTGTGGTGCTGTGATATGTATTGGAGTTAGAAAGTCTAAAATGAAACCATCTCTGCCCCCAGGGAGCTTAACAGCATTTCAGGAGAGACATGCATAATTTGTGTGTGTACATATACACACACACACACCCCTAAATACCCATATTTTTATAGACTGAGAATACACACAAAATAAATATAAGGTAAATTTTTGTAGGGGCATGTGGGAAAGACACTAGCAGGGGTAGGGAACCTGTGACCTGAAGGCCACCCCTGCACTAGAGGTTTGGTGGATCAGGAGAAGCCTCATGTAAGCAATGGTTTTTGATCAGAGCTTTAAAGGAAACAAGGGATTCTAACAGGTAGAGATAAGGAGGGAGTGAATTCCAGGTATGAGACTGTGTCTTTAAAGGCAGCATTTGTTATTTCTCTGGGTTTAGGTTAAATTGGGAGCTCAGAGAATTAAAGATATTCCCTTCTTCTCCCTCCTTCCCCCTCTCTCCCATCCGTTCCAGCTGACTCTCAAGTAAAGAGGAGTGCCTGGAAAATCTATCTTTTGTAAGATTGGAGCTCGTAGGTCACCTGAGAATATTCTTTTCTTTGGACCCAAATCCCCTTCCCCTCTTCACCTTCAAAAAGAAAGAAAACAAAGTCTCAAATCTCCTTTTAATATTTGCTTAGAAGTACCGATTTCTAATTTGGCCTACTGATGCTAACATCCCAGGATGATCTATTTAAAACAAATAGACTCCATCAGAACTAGAATGCATTAATTTATTTTTATTTATTTTTTATGGATAGCAGTAACGCTTGGGCTTAATTTACAGCAGTTGCAGAGGTGGGGATAGAATCACTCAGTATTTATTGAGTGCCTTGCAGGTTCTGTGCTAAGTGCTGGGGGCCTGTGATATACTTATACAAGAAGTATAAGACATGCTTTTGCTCAAGTTTAGTTGAGGAGATCCGGGACAGATGCACAGAAAAATTAAAATTATCAGTGGAAAAGATGGCACAAAGCAGGGCATGATCTATTGCCCAGAAATGATATTTAATCATTTCAACAAACATTTATTAAGGGCCTATTAAGGGCCTCTTGGCTTCTCTGGCTTCCTTCAAGCCCCAGCTAAAACCTCACCTTCTACAGGAAGCTTTTCCTACTCCATCTTAGTTCTGGTGTTGATTATTTCCAGTATATCCTGTCTATAGCTTGTTTGTATGTGGTCATTTGTGTGTTGTCTCTCCTGTTACACTGTGAGCTCCCTTAGGGCAGGAGCTGTCTTTTGCCTTTCTTTGTAACCTCATGCTTGGTATAGTGGCTGGCACTTAGTGGGTGCTTCCTGACAGACCAAAGATACAAAGACAGAATTTTCCTTGCCTTCAAGGGGATATACCATGTGCAAAAGTAAGTAAATCTAAAGTATAAGAGAGAGAATAGGCTCTGGACCTATGATTTCTTTCATAAGAGTGTAGAATTCCTGGCATTGCCCTCTACCAATGTAAGTTGGCATTTTCTCTATGACTTACAATTTGGAGTGACCTAGAGCAGAGGTGTCTAATATATGGCCCCCAACACCCCCAAATGTGGCCTGAACCATACTGAAATGTATTTGGGAAATATTGAACAAAATAAATAAAACTGCAATAAGATAGATAATATAAAATTTAAAACTAAGTCAGTATGTAGTCTGCAAGGATCCTTATGTATGATTTAGTGGACTGCTTCCCCCTTCCCATTTCTATTTGAGTTCAAGGGAGTTAGCAGTAATAACTGAAGTCAGAGAAGGCTTCATGTAGGAGGAAGCATTTGAATTGATTGAAAGAAGTCAGGGGAATCTAAACATGAGAACAGAGGAAGAACAGAATTCGAAAGATTGCTCATTATGGGCTGGGATTGTCTGGGAGGGTTTGACCAAAATGATGCTTGAGCTAATAACCCTTGGAGGATGGGTAGGATCTGGACAGGTGAAGAGGAGAGAGAACAGCATGAGCAAAAGTGTGGAGGTAGAAAAACACAAAGCCCCTTTTTTGGTTTTGAGTTCTATTGTTCTCCTGGGTTTGACTTTAGTAACTATTTCTGCTTTGCTGACTATTCCTTGGTCTCACTCTAGTGAAAGCTCATTATTTTGTCAAGTGATTTGGGCCTGGAGTTAGGAGGACACAAGCTCTAATGTTGTCTTGAGCACTTTCTAGCTCTGTGATCTTTGACAAGTCATTCAAACTCTCTCAGCCTCAGTTTCCTCATCTTTAAAATAGTAATAGTAACAATAGTACCTCCTTTCCAGGGTTGTTTTGAGGGTAAAAGGAGATAATATTTGTAAAGTGCTATGTAAATACTAGCTATTCTCTGAAATTTCCCCAAAACAAATGGATTAATAATTATCTGATTATTTTTGTCTTTCCAGGTAATAAAGTCAGCCCGTGTCATGAAGAAAGCAGTTGGCTACCTCATTCCTTTCATGGAGAAAGAGAGAGAGGAAGACAGAGCTCTTACTGGGAATGTGGAAGAAGAGGCAAGTCATTGTCTGCCTGGATGACCCTTTGGAGGGTTGGCCTGGAAGAGAGTGTGTTGGGTGGGGACAGATGGTGTTGCTTTTGGACTTTGCTGAGGTCATTGCCTAGAGTGAAGTGCAGAGGAAATAATAGAGAATCCCTTTAGAGGCAGCTGGGTAGAGTGCTGGACCTGGAGTCAAGAAGACACTCAACCTGTGTGATCCTGGGCAAGTCACTTAACCTCTGTCTGCCTCATTTTTCTCTACTGTAAATTGGGATTTCCCAATTTGGCACTTAGTGCCACTGACTTCCCAACCCAAAATGCCCATCCCTGGCCACCACTCTTCTATGATCTCCCCCATTCAAAAGTATGCTCCTTGAGAATCAGACTGTTTTTGTATTTGTATCCCCCCATACTTAACATGGTCCCTGGAACAAAATAAGCCCTTAATAAATGCTCTTTTCATTCACACATTCAATTGCTTTCATCTGGAAATTATGAGTTTTCATCTGAAGAATAACCCCAAGCTAGGGATTTGTAGCAGCAAGTTCAAAAGAGCACTCACTTAAGGATACTCTAATACATGAAAATCAGAAGGGAAGGAAACCAGCACTTATTAAGCACCTGCTAAGTGCCAAGCCCTGTGCTAAGCCCTTTACAATTGTTACCTTGTTTGATCCTCACAACAGCTCTGGGAGCACTTTATAATGGTTATCTTATTTGATTTTCAAAATAATCCAGGGAGACAGATGCTATTATTATCCCCATTTTACAGTAGAGAAAAATGAGGCAGACAGAGGTTTAAGTTTTGTAGAATACTTTATAGTTGTCTTCTCCTTTAATCCTATGAGGTAGTTGCTATTATGATCCCTGTTTTACAGATGGGGAAACAACTTCCAGGGCCACTTGATATAGTGAATTCTCACCAATTAGGTGCAAAGAAGCCTCATGGCAAGCCAGGGGCAGAGGGTAGAGCATGGCATCATGGCAGGAAGATAACCACAGTATAATGTTCCTTATCAGTATTTTTTATTGATAATTGGCCCCTATAGAGAAACAATGTTTTGGGGGGACTGGGGTGGGTGGGGGGAGTTGTAATGGGCAAATCATTTATTCTTGTTTGACCAACCATTTAGCCTGATTATGAGCCCAGCCTAGCTCTGCTTTGTTCTATCCACACAAAGTCCTCCAGCTTGATTAGCTTGATGAGCTCCCCATAAAGTAGATTGTTCTGGTGCTTAGGACTTAGAACCCTAAGGATTATCATGTAGTTTTGTACAAAGTAGGCAGCCCCACCTGATCATGTCTGCTGGTGGTTGTCCTTTTGATGGCAATACTTATTGCCACAATAATGCTGTTCCCTTTATATAACATTTAACAATTCACACATTGGCTCATGTGCAGTCTCGTTTTATCTTAACGACTTATGAGATAAATAGGGCAGTTGGTAGTATACCCATTTTACCGATGAAAAAACAGGTTCAGGAGGCAAACAGTAAATAGTGTTGCCAGGACAAGAATTGAGGCCCTCTTATTCTTTGACCACTGCTGTTTCCATCATGCACCCCCGCTACTTTTCACTGTCAGTAGGACCTAAGCAAATTTGTTTTAACATGCTTGAATAATGACTTGTTTCTACATGTTTGTCACTTCTAGATTCCCTGCCCATGGTAGATAAGAGCCTTCCTTTGTAACAAAGAAAATCATTTAAGCAGAACACAGGAACTGTATGCAATATTCTGTACCCGTAGCCCTCTACTTCTTTAAGGAAAGGAGGGAGATGCTTCCTTATTTCTTCTGAGGGACCATGATTAATCGTTAGAGTTACTCAGCATTTGACTTCATCTTAGCGCTACTTTTATTTACACAATCTTAGTAATTTTCTATATTACCTTCCTGACTGTGCTTACCTTCCCTCTGAACCAGTTCATTCATGTCTTAGATTATTTTTTATTAGTGTTGATAGGTTCGTGCTCATTGAGCATTTCCTACACTTTCTCATCTTTATTTCTTTGTCACCAGTAGTGCGCTTACTTGATATCCAGGCTGGGCACTGAATACTAGTACTGCTACCACTACTACCACCACCACCCATTACTATTGCTACTCCTACCACTACCACCGCCGCCACCACCACCACCACCACCACTACCACTACCACTACTACCACTACTATTTAGCTAGCTAACTAGCATTTGTATAACGCTTTTAAGTTTTGTAAACTACTTTACAGTTGTCTTCTCATTTAATCCTATGAGGTAGTTGCTATTATGATCCCTGTTTTATGGATGGGAAAATAAAGCAGATAGATGTTAAATGAGTTGCCCAGGGTCACACAGCTAGTAAGTGTCTGAGGCTAGAATGGAACTCAGATCTTTGTGACTCCAGTTCTGACACTGTTTCCAGAGTGCGACCTACCCACCACTCTGTGAGACACTGCTTTGGTTGGGGTTTGCCGGTATAGTTGCTAGGTGTGGAACAGAGATTTCTGTCTAAACTCAGCTGATTTCTATGATGATTGAATCCATGACCTTGACCTTATCCTCTAATCAGGTATATTAATGGCCTAGGGAGAGATCTTTTGATCATTTCCATCTTTAGCTGTCAGCTTAGAGATGACATGGTCCTGGACTTTCTTTGTGTCAGGTTATCTAGGTTCCTTTTTCTTCATAAATGAGTCTCTTTGCTTTACTGTTGTATTAAATACATTTCTATCCTAATGTTTGACTAAAATGCATGATCTGCTGCAAGCCCTTCACAATAAAATACCCACCTGCTTGATTTACACCTGCAGGACCCTTACCAAGGCACCATTGTGTTGGCGACTGTTAAAGGTGATGTGCACGACATAGGCAAGAACATTGTAGGTGTAGTCCTGGGCTGTAATAATTTCAGGTAAGAGTTTTAAGGGTCCATATCTTAGAATCCTTTCCTGTTTAAATAGTCATTCACTCAGTAAACATTTTTTAAGCACTTACTATGTGCTAGGTACTGTGCTAAGCACTGGGGATACAAAAAGAGGCAAAAGACAGACCCTGACCTCAAGGAGCTTAAATGGTTTAAAGATTCAAGAGATGCTTGTCAGTGTGTAAGGGAGCATAGGAATGGTCAGGAATTAAAGCATTTGATCAGCTTGATCAAATGGCAAGAGTATAGGTAGGTCCTCATCAGTTCCTTTCACCCCAGTGACTATAGGGGCCTTTTAAAAATTTATGAATAGGCTTTTTTTTATTTAATTTTATTTTCAGTTCTAAATTCTCTTCTTCCCCTTTCCCTTCTCCCACCCATTGAGAAGGCAAGAAAAGCATAGTCCATTATCAATATATATACTCATGCAAAACAAATTTCTGTAGAAGTCATGTTCAAAGAGAGGACAGGAGGGTGAGAGAGAGAGACAGAGACAGAGAGAGAGAGGAGGAAGGGAATATAATGCAATACATGCTTGGATCTGCCCTCTGTGTCCCTCAGCTCTCTATGTGGAGATGGATAGCATGTTCCATCATGAATACATTGGAATTGTGATTGGTTATTGTATTGATCAGAGTTCTGAAGGCTTTCACAGTTCATTATTTCACACATCCTATTCCTTTTCCTCACCAGATTTATAAGATTTTGTAGCTAATGTTCCGTGAGGTTATATTGAATTTCAGTCCTGTATTTTTCAGTAAAAAGGGTTACATTGAAATGGGAAAACTGTAATTGTTTTTGTACAGTGACTCTATAGGGGCACGTACAATTAAGTGCTTTTAAAATTTTATGATGATGAGACTAAATTTTTGGGCTGACATATACATGGTGAAGTCCTATTGTAATAAATGCCATTGTAAGGAGGATTTATCCATAACAGAATGCTTTTTACAATCCAATAGATGGCTTATAATGACAGTGCCTTGTTAATCTGATTACAATGGATTCTTTATAATGAATAATCCAGTATAATTAATTGTTTTTGGCTACCTGTCTACTCAGGGGTAAATCTCAATCAAGTACTTTTACTTTCTTTATTCTGTAGCTATAGAGAGCAGAGTTGGTTTTTCATGATTTTTAGTTCTTTTTTGATAAAATAACTAATTTTGGTTACATGAAATTGAAAAGCTTTTTCATAAACAAAATGAACACCTCAGGGATAATAATATAAGTGGTTGACTAGGAAGAAAACTTTGGTATCGGGCATCTCTAAAGAAGGTTTGCTGTCTAAGATAGGTAGACAGCTGATAGAAATATGTAAGACCAAAAGCCATTCCCCAGTAGAGGAGTGGTCAGTCAGGTAGTCAATAAGCATTTATTAATTGCCTACTTTGTTCCGGGAACTGTACTAAGCATTGGGAGTTCAAAGAAAGGCAAAAGACAATCGCTGCATAGGAAGAAACATTTTTCAGAAGAAGAATTGCAAGCTATTAACAACCATGTGAAAGAATACTTCCAATTACCTTCACTAAGAGAACTGCAAATAAAAACAACCCTGAGCTTTTACCTTACACGCAAATAATTTCTTTTCATCATGTTCCTTTACTACAATGAGGCAGAGCACCAGCTCAGTTCACCACTAAGTCCTTAAAAATAGGACCTATAATTTCTAATATTGTACTCATCATAGTGAATGTAAAACACAACAAAACCATTGGAAAGGCCAGGGGCCTTTTGTTGTTATAATACGCTCTTAGCTATATTGGATATATCCCTCACATTTTAGGGGTAAGATGTTCTACGCCCAAATCTCTTTTGAGAATGCTACTTCTCAGTGTCCTATTGCTGTTGATTTCTGTTAGCATTCTTCTCTTGTCCCTAACTCCCATGAAACTGAGGCAGACGTTCAATTGTAATTAAACTCACCAAATACTTATGCTTGAGATGCTGTCCTGCTGTATTTGGTCATTGCTGAGATTAGTCAGTAGATAGTTGAGAAGATCAAGCTGGGAGTATTTTTTTTTATATGAAGATATTTGAAAAAGTGACACTTTCCAGAGTATCCCCCTCTCTTTTAAGTACAAAATATTAACAGTTGTAGTGAGTTACTAATTTAAGCCAGAGTTTTGACTAGCACATTCTGCATGAAAAATTTCTCTATTTTCTGCATACTGAGATTTTTGTCTTTATCCTTGTCATGGAGAAAACTTTGTGGTGGAACCTTTAGATTTTCCATCTTAAAAGGCAGGAAGACTTGTCTCCTACCTTAATCCACCTTGCCCAATGGCTCATGGTTTATTACGTAATTATTTGGACCACATGGCTGAGTCACACTGCATCCTGGTAGCAGCACACCTACATTTCAGAAACAGAAAAAAGTAGGAAAAAAAAGCAGCCTCTTAAACTGCTGAAACTGTAGAATTAAAGTCAAGCACAGCAAATGTTGGACATCATAATAGGGATTTGGAGGAAAGTAGCCCACATCCACCCATCATCTTAGGACTGTATCCTACTTTATCTATGTTCAGTGATATTTAAACAGATTCCATCATGTTTCATCTGTACCTTGTACAGACTTTATATAATGCTTTATGCATGGGCACTGAAGAAATATCTGTGGCTTGTTACTTGAGAGTTTAGCTCAGTGATGTATTTTCTGAATTAAAAAGTAATGTGAAGCCTCCTAGTGATTTCTAAAGGATAAATTTTAAAATGACATTTTTTTTTTTTTACACCACCTCTGATACTACCTTTGTCATGTTGGGCAAGGTACTTAACCTCCCAGGGCCTCAGTTTCCTCATTTGTAAAACAGAGGGTTCAACTAAACGGCCTTTTTCTTCCAGCTCTAAATCTATGAACATGAATTTATTATTATTTTTTTTTTTACTGTTTTTCATAGATAATTTGATCTTTCTTATATTTACTTTTGTCATTTTGTAGCCAAATGAGAGATTGAGTTCAGGGGAAGAAGAGACTGAGGGATATGAGGAAGGCTGCATGGAGGAGGAAGGGAAAATTGAAGAGAGATGTTAGGTAAAGATGAGAGAACTGAGGAGAAATCAAGTGCTTGCTCTGTGTCAGGCATGGTACTAGGCCATGATATACAAATATAAACAATGGAACGATCCCTATGCTGAAGGAGGGAACATGAGAAAGGGGAGAGTAGTGGGGGAAGGGATTTAGGAAAATGGGTTTAGGAGCTAGAAAATCTCTCCCTCCTTCCCCTCTCCCTTATGTCTCCCTCCCTCCAGCCCCCCTCATTTCTCCCTCTCTCCCCCCTCCTCCTTTCTTCCCTTCCCCCTCCTCCCTCTCTGTTTTCCCCATTCCTCTCTTCCTTTCCACTCTCTTCCTCGCCCCCACCTTCTCTCTCCCCTCCTTGTCCATCTGTCCTCCCCTAATCTCCTCCACTCCTTCTTTTCCCTCTTCCATCTTCTTCTCTCCTCTGTTTTCTTCCTTTTTTTTTTTTTTGAGGCAGTCGCAGTTGAGTAACTTGCCCAGGGTCACAGCTAGTAAGTGTTTGAGGCTGGATTTGAACTTGGGTCCTCCTGATTCCAGGGCTGGTGCTCTATCCACTGCACCTCCTCTCTGCTCCTCTCTTCTGTTTTCTGTCATATACCTTCCTGTGGCAGTCTTCGCTGTTAAACCAAGAATTTGGATAACCAGAGTTTCATTAATAGGACCAAAAATGCTTATGTAGTGCCAAATCACTGCTTTTGTGCTCACCCATACTTGGTTATTAGAATCTGAATGTTCCATAGATCTTGAAGAGGTTGAATGGAGTATCATTACTTTGAAATTATCCCAGATTTTATTTTTTAATGTATTTCGGGGGGAAAAAATCACGTTATCTTCCTCAGTTTTAAAATTATGAAAAACCATTTTACCAAAGAATTTAAAATGTATGCTGTGGTTTTATAAATCTGTTCAACAGCAGCATATAAAATTAGGCTGCAAAAATAATGACACAAGATTTGTGATTAGAAATAAAGAGAACAGTAGTAAATCAAATATAAGGCCAAATCGGAGATTCCCTATTCCTTCCTTCCAGGAAGGGCTTCTCAAAATGATGATTGCTTCATGAATTGAGAATCTTTTGGCCTTAAGCTATTCAGTTATAAAGCTTATGAATGGAGCCTCCCGTCCCTCCCCCCCAAACTCTCTTGCATCCGGGGATCTTCCAGAGGCATGCCTATTTATAATACAGCAGTGCTTCATGGGTCCAGTTAAAAATGTTAGCTTCCCTTTTGTCCCCAGCATTTTCTCATTAATTTTCTCAAATCTCTCTTTTTCTGCCATAGGGTTATTGATTTAGGAGTCATGACTCCCTGCGATAAGATATTGAAAGCTGCTATCGACAACAAAGCAGGTGTGGTAAAACTGACAGTACTTTCAGGCCTATTTACTAAATGACTGTTCATTTGTCAGTGCGTGATAATGTGCCTCCAGATGTGTGATCCATGGGGGATTTACAAGTGAAACAATTAAAAAACTCATTATCTGGTGGGACTATTCCAGGTGGTAGTGAGTTCTATTGCATTTGGGAGGTGGAGTTTGGGAAAGCAGGTTAAGATTCAGTGGAACCTGTTTATAACTAAGGTCCTGGGAGGATCTAAACCTTTCTAGATTAAGTGTGTGATAGCATACTTTAGTTGTATATGATTTTAATGAAGTACTTTCATATCTGTATAATCATGAACTAGGGCTAATGCAATTGGATGGTTGCCCAAAATGATGTACACTATAATAGTTTCAAATCTCCGGTTGCATTAGCAACCAAGATCAAAAGGTGGTAAAAATTCGGCTTTTAGAAACACTTCCTAGGACAGCCTTTTCTTCTACTATAAGAATTTCTTGTTGGGTCTAGTAGATTTTATTAGAAAATGGTTTATAAGATGGTCCATTCCTTCTATTTCACCCTTTATTCCCTCCCCTTTTTAAAATAGATATAATTGGCCTGTCGGGACTCATCACTCCCTCTTTGGATGAAATGATTTTTGTTGCCAAGGAAATGGAGAGATTAGATATAAAGATTCCTTTGTTGATCGGAGGAGCGACCACTTCCAAGTAAGTCAGATAAATGGAAGGATGATATTCATTAAAGTGTTCTTAAGTGTCTTTTTGAAACACAAGGAAAAACCTTGGTCTCCTTATAGTGTGTATAGATTTGTTTGTTGTATATATAAGGAACTGCCCTTTCTCAGCTTTGAAACTAGAATACTGAGAACTCTAGTGAATTTTTGGATTGTGTTGTTTCTCTGTCCTTGGAGAAAAACTCCTTTTCTGTTTTCCTGGGACTCCTTATTCTTAATAAGTCTCTGTGATGAGTGTTAGGGTCCTTGACTCTATTAAAATTAAAATTCAGTTCAGTGTCTGTTGCACATCGAACTAGAATCTTAGATTTAAAGCTGGAAGGAACCTCTATGTTCAGCTAGTCCAGGGAGGTTTAGTCTTTCTTATGTCACATGCTAAATTTCAATTACAGGTTAGTGAAAACAAAGATGTATTTTTTTCCCTTGTCCAAGTTTGTGGACCCTGGGTTAAGAGTCTTTGCTGTTTTCTAACCCCTTTGTTTGACAGATGAAGAAATTGTTGCCCAGGGCAGTTAGGTGACTTGCTCACAGTCACACAGGCAATAAGTGGCAGAACCAGGATTTGCATATAGGTCTTGTGACTCCATGTCCAGCTCTCATTTCCCATATCACATGACTATAATGCGCTAAGTGGTATGAATGTTTATAGAGATGAATAGGACATGTTCCCTGGAGGTTATAATCTAGTAGGGAAGATATGGCTCATACAAAAATAATTATAATGATGTGGAAAGAAGGCAGGTAGTAAGGGATGTTAGGAAAGTATAGAATGGTATAAGAATACAGGAGAGAGAGAGAGAGAGGTGGGGAGAGAGGAGAGAGAAAGAGATCATTTTTGACTGAAAGGATTAAGGAAAAGAACACATTTGAGTAGAGGTTTGAAGAATTAGTATGATTTTGATAAGCAGAGATGGGGAGAAAGGCATTCTAGGCAGTGGCAATGGCATAGATAAAAGCATGAAGGAAGGAAAATGCAGGTGTGTTTGAGGAATGCGGAGTGGGTCAGTTTATCTTCATGGGGTCAGTGCAAGGTATGGTGGGCATATAAAGAAGGAGTAGGAACTAATGCTAGAAATATGGGGCCTACCCCGTCTCTTAGGAGTTTGCATAACGTGCTAAGTGATCCGTATTCTGTTCTGTAAGCATTAGGAAGTGGCTCAAGGATTTTGGGTGGGAGTTGGATTGGATCTTGTGCTTGAGGAAGATTCGCCTGGCAGTGGTGCATAGGATGGAATGCAGAGGGCAGATAGAGGCTGCGGACAGAGTAATTCATCGAGAGGGCTATTGCAGCATTCCATGTAGTGGGTTATGAAGCCTGAGCTAGGGTTGTGGTTGTTGTGACAGGAACAAAAGGCCATATGCTGGAGAATGTTTCGAGAAAGAATGGATGGGGTGGCAGCAGATTGGCTACAAGGGACAGTACTGGTCTCATTCACAGAAACAGGAAAGTCAGAAGGAGGAATGAGATTAGGGATGAGGAAAGTTGATGATGGTTTAGTTTTGCACAGTTTGAGTTACCAGTGGACCATCCAAGTAGATCTGCTCTGTCTCTGGTATTTGGCAATAGCAGGATGGGACTCAGGATAAAGGACAGGGCCGCAGGTATGGGAACAGTCTGCATAGACGTGTTGGTTGAGTGGATGACATCACCAGCACAAGAGTGTATATAAAGGCAGAAGAAAAGAGGACTGTCTTGGGGAGGTGGCGGGAGGGATACTCACACTGAGGAGGTGGTAGGAGATAGAGAATTAAACAAAGTAGTAGATGAGCTAGGGTTAGGAAATGAGATTGCTCACAGAAGTAGTAGGAGAGCCAGGAGAATAGTGTCACAGATGCCTAAAGAGGCGAGAGTAGCACGAAAGAGTTGTCAACAATGAATCATGATCACAGTAAGTCCTAGAATTATAAAGATATTCAGTAGAGGTGGTTTCGTGTGAATGGTGCCTAACTATTTATCTGTAGGTTTTTTCTTTATTTTTTTGTGGTACACACAGTTCTTTGTAACAACAAACAAGGCAATCAGAGCTAGAGTGATATATCCCTTTTCATCTCATCACTTGTTTAGTGTTTCATACATAAAAAGATAATATGACCCCTGTTTCATAGTGATTTCTACTTTTTCTGTTACAAATGTCACGATATGTTAAAACCACTATATCCTGAATATATTATTTTACTTAAAAATTTTTTAAAAAATTCTGAACTTAAAACACCAAGAAAATGAACATTTTCATGTACAAAGTATACCCAAAAAGAGGATTATGTGGAAAAATGTGAATCTCTGTTAATGCACAGCTTTTTTTTCAAGGATGCTGATCTATATATCCTTTGTTTTTCTTTTGGGCGTTAAAAAAAAAGTTTCAATGACTGTCTAGTCTTTCTTTTCTTCCTTTTTGGGCAATATTATTGAAAATGCCTGGCTCACTGCCAAATTCTTCCTCTCCCCAATGAAAAAAAAAAGAAAAAAACAATCCTTCTAACAAATAAGCATAGTCAAGCAAAAAAATCTACACATTTGGCAGGTTCAAAAATGTATGTCTTGATAGGCATGGTGGTGAATGCTTGTAATTCCTGTTCCTGGGGAGGTTGAGGCTAGTGGAGGGCTTGAGTTGCAGAGTTCTTAACTCCAATAAGACTAAAGCCAGTTGAGTGTTTGCATTAAGTTCAGTGCCAGTATGGTGAACTCTGGGAGTGGTGGGCTACCAGGCTGCCTAAGGAAAAGCAATCTGTCCCAGGTCAGAAAAACAGTGGATTAAAGCTTCTGTGTCAATCAGTATTAATATCTGGCCCATGAGTGACTCATGCACTTCCATCCTGGATGAGAAAGGGTGATCCAGTGTCTTCTCCAGTGGTGCACCCCCCACTCCCCACCCCAAGAGTATGCCTCATTCTCCATCTTGAGTCCACTACCTGTCTATTAATACGAGGTTAATGTACCTCACCTTCTGTCCTCTGAAGTCCTGATTAGTCATTGCATTAAATAGAGTTCTTAAGTGTTTCAAAGTTGTTTTTCTTCATAGTTTGTTCTGTTTCTGCTCACTGACTGCATGAGTTCATATAAGTTTTCCTGGATTTCTCTAAAACTGTCCTTTTAGTTCTAAGTCTTGTAGTTTAGTAATACTCCATAACATTCTAAATGCCATGATATGTACAGCCATTCTCAACTCCAGTTATTTGGCACCCCCTTAGCATCCAGTTTTTTGCTGTAACAAGAGTTGTTATAAAGATTTTTTGTTCATGTTGGTCCTTTTCCTCATTCTTTGATCTTGTTGGGTTATAGGCCTAATTATGGTATCATTGGGTTAAACGATATGCACAGCTTATTGAATTTGGGCACGCAGTCCCATTCTTTCCAGAATGACTTTCCAGTTCACAGGTCCATCAACAGCACATCAGTGGAATGCATCGGGGTTTACTACATTAAACAATTGATTCATTGGCTGCCATGCTTGAATGATTCAACATTTTTGAAATGTTATATTTCATTATAACGCTAGGTTGTTTTTTTTCCAAGAAGACTCCATAGTGGAGATTGAGGTTGAGTGGTGGAGTCACTTTCCATGGATATGACCATCCTTTGGTCTGGGAAGATTTTACTTAACCAGACAATGAACAGTTGGCTTTGTAGCATGAGTCTTTATTGGCTTAATAAGGTTTAACATAAGATTAGCTTTTTAGAGAGTTCCTGAGTTGCCATCAGAGCTGGAATCATTCCTTTTAAATAACAATTGTAAAATTAAAACTATAAATATTTAAATAAACAGAAATTATGGAATGTGTCTTAAGGTGTGTTAAATGTAAGCCCTGTTCCACATCACATGCAGCAGTATATGGTGAAAACAATTCAAAGCTCAAGGTCATATAAACAGCATGAAATAAATCATTGCCTCCACTCATGCCTCTCAGAACAGCACCAAATAAAACAACTCTTAATAACAAGTTCCGGCAGATGAATTTTTTTTAAAGCCCTCTGAACAGGGAAGAAATATTATGGTGTAATGAGGGTTAAGGTGACATTGGTTATTTACAGTTTTTACCTATTGAAAGTTAAGGAAATATTAACCACATGAATAAGTCATCCACCAACTGATGGTTGGTGCAACTCCAGAGTTGCAGAGTCTCTTTCTAGGATGTGGTCTTCTCTGAAGCCCCTGGGATGAAATGATTCCATGACCTTTCAGCATTTCTTCTTACACCCTGCTTCTTTGATTGTGTGTAAGCCCTGACTTTGCTGATCCTCTTTTGCTCGGTGCCTGTTGTCCTTCCTGAAAATGTCAGGAGAATGAAAGACAGTTACTGTGCATCCAGAGCAGATCTCCTCACTGCTCCCTCCCTTTCTCCACCTCCCATCAAAGGAGCCATGGTATAGTAGCCTTCGAAGAGAGAGGATTGCTTGTTCCTGAATGCTTTTACAGTACAGATAATAACCCATGTTTTGTCAATCAGTTTCGAATCCTAAATTCTAGATCCATTCTGAGGTAATGAAAATGAAGCCTTAGCCTGTAGTCTTTGGTCTTTGGAAACTGATTCTGTATTACACATCAGTCCTTTTGGGGTTGAAGGGAGAATTAGTCCTCCTTTTTAAGTGTTCAGTGGATGAAATGCCTTACATAGCCCCCTGACACCTCTCATTATGCTCCTTGCAAAACTATTTAAGGCCTTGGTCATGGCCCAGGTCTTAGCTTTTATCAAGTATGTTTAAGCAGATAATGGCTCTGGAGATCTTGATTTCTCTGCAAGCATACATCTGAAGAAAATAACCAGCTGCCCTAACAGACAGACTTCCAGTGCCCTGAAGCAGTACAATTGAATGAGAACTATAACCATGAGACGTTCTAAATTAGGACATCTGTGGGGTTGCCAGGGTAACCAAGCTTATTGCATTGCGGTAGATTCTGGATAGATCTCATTAATAGAAGTAGAAAAAAGAAATGATAGAATTAAGGATTGGGGCCCTTATGATGGCATTTAATATGTGAGGCTATCCAGTGGGATAGATCATGGTGAAATTGAAAAATTTAGGATTGAACATGGGCAGAATGATCCTTAGAGTACTTGACATTTTTCAAAATGTTCTTTAAAAATCATTGAATATCTCTGTCATTAGCTTGATACTATTAGCTCAAATTGGCAGATGTAGAAAATTAGCAAGCCAAGTTCACAGTGTGTGTGAGAGGTAGGACCAGGGTTTGAGTAACATTCCTGATTTCCAAGAAGTATGCTTAGCCATCTTCGTGTCTGTGAAGGGAAGTGGAGAATCTCTTACAGGTTGTTTGTGGGGTTTTTTTTTTTGTTTGTTTTGTTTTTGTTTTTTTGGGGGGAGGGGTAGCTGTTATTTTATTTTGAGTTCCAGAGAGAGAGGTCTTCTCCTAGACTAAATGATCCAAGGAAAAGAAAGTTTGGATAAAAAGTCAGACATCAGCATCAGTTCACTCTTTGGAGAAACCAGGAGGAAATGCCAAATTCAGTTGAGTTCAGTCAGCATTTATTAAGTGCCCTTTGTGGGCCAAGCACTGTACCTGAGAATGCAAAGACAAAAGGAACAATAATTCCTACCTTCAAAGAACTTATATTACCAATGACTTGGGCATCACAAGTATGTTTTACAATCCTTCCTTCATTAATTTTAAAATTTGGGAGGAAAAAATGCCTTGTCTTTTTCTTTGTGATAGAATTCATCATTTCCAGCTTGATATCCTTGTTGTGGAGCTTGACAGGGTGAAGACACTTAATATTGACTGGCACCCTGTTGGGCTCTCCACAATTATTAATTGTATTAAACTGAACTAAAACTTTCCTGCCTCTTGGAGGCACAGATAATTTAAACCACAATAGGATCATAGTAACATTTCCTTGAGTACTTTCATGCATATAGGATTCTTTAAACAGACACTTAAAATAAAAATCTATTCAGTAAGCAAAAATACATTTTGTCTCCCTCTCCCTGTTGCTCCTTAAACAAAAAATAAAACCCTAGTAACAAACAGTCAATAAAGCAAAAAAAAAAAAAAATTCCTCCACTGACTGTGTTCAAAAACTATATGTCCCAGTCTGCTCCCTGAGTCCCTCACCTCTCTGTCAGGAATGGAGTAGCATACAACTATGACTATTTCTTCTAGCTAGCCAGCTAGTATTTATGTAGTGTCTACTATGTGCCAGGCACTGTGCTAAGCTCTTAACAGATAGTATCTCGTGATCTTTACAACAGCCCTGGGTGAATGTTATTATCCCTATTTTATAGTTGAAGATACTGAGGCAGACAGTAGTAAGTGACTGACTTGCTCAGGGTCACACAGCTGGGAAGTGTCTGAGGCTAGATTTGAACTGAGGCCTTCCTTGACTTCAAATCCGGCCCTCTGTCCACTGTGCTGCCTCTGTCTAAGCAAGAACATGGGCGGAGCCATTCCTTTTAACAAAGAATGTAAAAAGAGAGAAAAGAAAACAATTGATTTTTCTTTCTGTTCTTCATCATATATTGAAATGTTCATTTCTTTTATGTTTAAGTAAATAATGAAAAAGAAAAAAATTTAAACAACAATTTAGTAAAACCAGCCAATCCATCAGGTTTATTTGACATAGTATGTGATATTCCACTTCCATAATCCCTGACCTTTGCGAAAGATTTTATTTGTTAAAGAAAATATCAATTTGTCTAAGGTTAATTTGTAGTATTTAGCGGAAGAGAATTTTATTTAGCTAGCGTTTATATAGCGCTTTAAAGTTTATGAAGCATAGGGGCAGCTAGGTGGTGAAGCTGATAGAGCACCGGCCCTGGAGTCAGGAGGATCTGAGTTCAAATCTGGCATCAGACACTTGACACTTACTAGCGGTGTGACCCTGGGCAAGTCACTTAACCCCATTGCCTAGCCAAAAAAAAATTTTATGAAGTACATACTTTAAGTTTTATGATTTGATCCTAACAACAATCCTGCAATGTACAGGTGCTGTGATTCCCATTTTACAGATGAGGAAATTGAGGCTTGGAGAGGTTAAATGACTTGCCTAGGGTTACAGAGTATCAGAGGTAGGATTCAAATTCAGGTCTTCCTGACTCTAATTTCAACACTTATTTACTATGCTAGTTGTGCAGCTAGTTTTCCCTTCATGACCAAACATTTCTCTTTTCACAAAAGCTTTTCCCTTATTCCTCTCTGCAAATTTGAAAGGCAGCAGAAGTGATTTTTTCCCCCTTTACTTTTACTGCCAGCGCCCTCTATGAGGCCCTCCTACCTTTATAAACCTCATAGGTGCTGAGTGTATGATATTGATTGATTATTAATTGATTTTACCAATCTGTGAAAAATGGGCAATCATTCTTAATTTGCTGTGTGTGAAGTTCAACATTTCTAAGCCTGGTGGAAGTCTTCTCCAGAAAGCCCTATAAAAGAACCTGTTGTCCTTAATTGTGGATATGAGTGATGATGTCGAACTGTCAGTTCTGATGAATGTGGGTTCCCTCTTCTTCTTTTCAGAACCCACACAGCAGTTAAAATAGCACCAAGGTATAGTGCTCCTGTAATACATGTCCTTGATGCATCTAAGAGCGTGGTGGTGGTAAGTATGGATTTAAAAAACTTTTTTAAATTTCAAATATACCATAAGAAATTGAATTTTAGATAGATACATAGATAGATAGACAAAAAAATAGTTTTTTTTCTTTCAGGAATCCTTTCCTTGTTTTTTTAGTTTTAAAAAAATTATTGCACCTGCAGGGACAATTTAAAGTTGTTTTTTTTTTTCTGGAATCCTTTTTTTTTTTGTTTTTTAGTTTTGCTGCTCACTCCTTGACCCTTTCCACATCTAGTGAGCCATCCCTTATATAGAAGAGGATACAAAAGAAAAGAGAAAAAATTAGCTCAGTAAAACTGACTAAAACATACCAAATAGGTCTGATAATATATCTGGGGCTCCACATCTATAGTCTTCATGTCTTCAAAAAAAAGGAAGAAGGTACATTCTCATATCTTATTTACCTATTCTTTAAATATAAGAGCCTACTCTATATTAGTTAGTCAGTAAACATTTATTAAGTGCTTGCTATGTGCCAGGCCCTGTGCTGAGTATCTATGATACAGAAAAGTCAAAAGATAGTCCCTACGCTCAAGGAGTTCAAAATCTAATAGGGGAAACAACATGGAAACATCATTGTACAACCAAGCTATTGTTATTGTTTAGTTGATTAGTCATGTCTGACTCTTTATGATCCAATCTGGGGTTTTCTTGGCAGAGATACTAGAGTGGTTCGCTATTTCCTTCTCCAGCTCATTTTACAGATGAAGAACCCCAGACAAGCAGGCTTAAGTGGCTTGCCCAGGATCACACAGCTAGTACATGTCTGAGGCTGAATTTGAACTCAGATCCTTCTGACTTCAGGTCTGGCGCTCTATCTACTGCCCCACATAGCTGCCCTTCAACTAAACTATGTATAGTTTGAATTGGAAATAGCAGAGAGAAGGCACTAGAATTAAGAGGGATAGGGAAAACTTGTAGAAGGTGATAGATCTTGGACTTGAAGAAGCCAGGAGGTGGAGGTGAAAAGGGAGATCGTTCTAAGTCAGTATGGGAGACAGCCTCTGGAAATGCCCAGAGATGGGAGATAGAGTGGAAGTCTGAAGCTACTGTTAGCATTCCTACAGTGACCCAAGGACCATAATAATAATAACAATAATAATAACTAGCGTTTATGTAGCACTTTAAGGTTTTCCAAGAGCCATATCTATGTTATCTGTTCCTTTTAAAATATAAGTAGTCAGATGTGATGAATTAGGTATTAGAGGACTGAAGTCACAAATTAATCATTTCTAGAATGAGCACTTAGGTTTGCTAAGTGATTTCCTCAGAACAACCCCATGGTTCAATATTTATTAACCCCATTTTGTAAATTGGAAACTGAGGTTCTGAGAAGTTAAATGACTTATCCTTGGTCACACAGTGGTGTGTCTCAGGGAGAATTTTGGAACCCAGGGCGCTTGACTCCCAGATCATCATTGTTTCTTCTATGCCAAGACGCTTTTAGTAAGTAGAGAGGACCTTCTTTGCCTTAAGATGCCAGTGACACCAGCATCCACATAGATATTCTCAATTGTCTACAGATGTAAAATCCTTACTTATATGACATAACTGCCAGAATCAGAATTTGGAGGAAATGCCACACTTGGAGACAGGTACATCCTTCACCAAGACAGAGAAGCATTTAGAAAGCCTTTCAAATCTGGGCTCTGATTTGTGATGAGTAAGTAGAAGTGGAAACCAGTCTTGCCCTCTTCCTTCCTCTGCTTGCATGCCTTGGGGGAGGACCTTCTAAAACAGTCCTTTCATTCATTCATTTTAACAACTATTAAGCCCCTATTATGTGAGACTTAAGGTGAGGCTTGACCTTGTGGAGTGGCTTAGACGTCTAGTCTTGCAGTCAGGAAGGCCTCTGGATGCAGACTAGCTCTGTAAGTCACTTAACATCTCAGTGCCCCAGCAAACTCTTTTAAGATTGTAGGTAATAACATTGATCAGTTGTCAGTTTGCATTGGTGGAGGGAGATGCCACATCTAAGCACCAAAGATGTACCAAGTATCATGCTAATGGGTTTCTTTGTTTTGTAGATTGTGTACTTAGTACAGGCACAAATAATTTATTATTTAAATTCCTGATAAGCTATTTTAATTTTTTTTAATTATGAATTTAACTGACTTGGACGTTTCAATGCCCAGAAAAGAGAATTGTATGTGAAACTAAAAGATTTCTTTTAGTTTTTTAAAAAATGATAATCCTCTTTCCTATTTATCTGTGTCCACTTCTGAACTCCCTTCTCTCTTCCATGTGTTTTTTTAAATATTTCATTGATAATCTCATTACTCCATCACTGTCACTACTCACTACCTCCTCTCCCTCTTCCCTCACACAGTGGAATAGAAAGACATTTAGTCTGCACTAAATTTGTACCAAGCACTTTGCTAAATGCCAGACATACAAACAGAAAAGAAAGCTAGTCCCTGCTCTCAAGGAGCTCAGTTTGTAATAGGAGGAGCCCTCACATATAGCAAGTTTTACCTGCAAGTCAGATGATAAAGCCTGAGAGACATTAGGGTGCAATGGCAAGTCAGATGACAGTGCCTGGGGGATGAAGAGCCAGAGGTGGAGTGGTGGGCCCAGTGATCCACCATCTTAGTTGAAGATTGTCGTTGGTGACTGTGGCTCATATAAGCAGTGTGAGTAGCCATGTTCCTAAGCAAAGACTGTTGGGAAGGATCTAGTGGTCCTAAGGGTATGAGTGAAGGAGGCTACTGGGTTACTTCTGAGGGGGGTGGGGTTCAGAGGGAGCCCATCATTCAGTTGAGGTGGAATGTCCAGTACCTAGTAGGAACCAGTCAGTGGAGGCTAATGAAAACTTTTTTCATCATTTTCCCTCTCTTGTCTTTAATCTTTTTATCCAGTGGCTCCTTTCCTGCTGTCTACAAACATGCCAAGTTTTTCCTCATCTTAAAAAATCTTCACTTGACCTTGTTATGTGCTCAAGCTAGTATTCTGTAATCTCTCCTTTTCACAACCACACTCCCAGAGAAAGCCATTTATATTTGCCTCCACTCCCTCATCTCCCTTCTCAATCCCTTGCCATCTGGCTTCTGATTATACCACTTGATTGAAACTTTTCTCTAAAGTTTACCAGTGATCTCTCAGTTGCTAAATCTAATAGCCTTTTCTCATTCCTCATGTAATCTTGACCTCTACAACATTTGACACTGTTGACCATGCATTCTTTCTGGATAAGCTTTCTTCTCACTGAGTTTTCATGACACTGCTGTCTCCTGATAATCCTACCTTTTGACAACTTCTTCTTACTCACTTTCTTTTGCTGGATCATCATTCCTGTTCTCCCTATGCATGGGCATACCCAGGGATCTAGTCTGGACCCTGTGCTCTCTCTAGATTCTTCTTCGTGACCTCATCTCTCATTGTTTCAACTTTCATTTCTGTCAGATTGTGCCCAGATCTATATATCCAGCCCTCACCCCTCACCTGTGCTCCAGAACTGTGCATCTCAGACTCAACATATACAAAATATAACTTACTGTTTTTACTCCTATACCCACCTGTTTTCATAATTTATCTCTTTTTGTTGAGGGCACCACCATCCTTCTGGACCCTCCTGTTTGCAACCTTGGAGTCATTCTTAACCCTTCGCTCTACCTCGCTCCTTAGACCCAGTCACTTGCCATGTTGTGTCTTGTAATAATTCAACAAACATATTCAGCAAATGTTGATTAAGAGCTTACTCGGTCCATGTGCTAGGCACTGGAGATACAAAGACAAAAACAGAACAGTCTCTGCCCTTGAAGAACTTCTATTTTACTGGTGCAATACAGTGAGTATACACATAATTATACAGTATATACATAATTATATACATAATATGTATAAGTATACACATAATTATAGTACATGGAAAATTGAGGAGCCACGACAACTGATAGGAAAAGGGAAGGATACAAATAGGTTAAGACTTAAAGGAAGACAAGTCAATCATTTCCATAACATGGTATAATAAAAAAGATGATTGCACATAAAACTGCAAGTCTGTTATGTACAACTTGCTTTTCCTTTTAAATATATAGTAAATCTATCATGTAAATTCCTTTTTTTGTTTCCTCTTTCCTCCCCTCCCCCCTTCCCCCCCATGGCTACCATTAGACACAAATAGGTATAGATATGTATATGTAAAATTATTCTATACGTCTGTTTATCAGTTTTTTCTCTGGATGCAGATAGTGTCTTTCTTCATATGTCCTTTATAGTTAATTTGAGTATTTAATAATAGACAAAATGACTTATTTGCTCAAAGTTATTCTTAAAACATTATCGCTCTTATTGTATACACTGTTCTCTTGTTCTGCTCATTTCCTTCTTCATTATTTCATGTAGGTCTTTCCATGTTTTTCTAAGATCATTGAACTCATCATTTCTTACAGCACAGTAGTATTCCATCACAATCATACACCATAACTTGTTCAGCCATTCTCTGATTGATGGGCATTCCTACAATTTTCAGTTCTTTGCTACCACAAAGAGAGCTGCTATAAACATTTTAAAACATGTAGATTCTTTTCCTTTTTCCCTAATAATCTTTGGAAATAGACCTAGTAGAAGTATCACTGGGTCAAAGGGTATAGGCAGTTTAATGACTCTTTGGGCATAATTCCAGATTGCTCTCCAAAATGATGAATATTATAAGAGGAGATGAGGAGGGAGTGTACCTTGGCGTGATAAAAGACTTACACAAATGCAGTGATGTGGGAAATGGAGTATTGAGGTGAAGGAGTGTCAAGTACTTATTTTGAAAACTATTCCTATCCTTTGGCCACTTAAATGTGACTTTTGGAGTGTGTGTGTGTGTGTGCGTGCGTGTGTAGGTAGTATCAGTAAGACTTCACAGTTGTTCAGATATGGGGGATTAGGGAGAGGCCAGAATAAAGGATAATGACTCTGATGTTAGGGATTTCAGTGATGGGGAGAATAGACTAGTGATACCCTCAGTAGAAATAGGCAAGTGTGAAAGTAGATCGTGCCATTTAGGAAAAAAAGAGAATGCATTCTGTTTGGGTACACTAAGTTTGAGGTGCATCCCGGAGGAAACATCCAATAGGCAATTGCTGATATGTGATTGGAGGTGAGAGAGGTGAAAGCTGTTTATATAGATTTGGGAGATATTGGAGTTATATATATGTGTAAATATTGTACTGATGAAACCACCAAGAGAGATGGGGCATAGAGAGAACAGAGGAGGGGCCAGGACAGAGCTTTGGGAAACACTCCAGTTAAGAGTGATAGAAGAGATGGGTCATAATAAAGCAAAGCATATTGAGACAGAGCAATCAGATTGAACAGGGTCAAAGAAGATAAAAGAAGAGAGAGTGTCTAAGATGAAAGAATGGTCACCAGTAGTAAAAGCTGCAGAGGCTGCAGAGGATACGGACTGAGAAAGGCCCAGTGGATTTACAGGAACATAAACCTAGTGAGTATAGTTTCAGTTGTGTTTTAGGGCAGGAAGCCAGGTTGAGAAGTAAGTGGGTGGTTGAGAAGTGGAGGCAGTAAATGTAGATAATTCTTGCCAGCAGTTTGGCAGTGAAAGGAAGGAAAGAGGCAGGTTAATAGCTTGAGGGGATGGCAGGGTCAAGTGAAGGATTTTTTTTTTTTAAAGGAATGTTCTGGGCAATAGGGAAAAGAGACTGGAGACAGAGAGAATGAAGATGATGGTGATTGATGTTGAAAGTTTCTGGAGAAGGAAAGAGTGGATAGAATTAAGAGTCCAGGTAAAGTTGGCTCTGGCAAGGGATACGACTAAGGTAGGAGAGTCTGGTCGAAGATGTGGAAGGAGTCTGAGATAGGGGGTGGAGGAAGAAACAAGGGACCAGATGGTGAGTGTCAATGGCTTCTATTTTCTCAGTACAGTAGGAGGCAAGAACATATGAAGGGGAGGGGGCTGCTTGAGAGAAGGGAAGTTCTGGATCAACTGCTGAGGGGTAGGGGAAAAAGAGACAATCAATTACAATACTATCTCATTTGATTCTCACAACAACCCTATGAGTTAGGTGCTTTTGTCATCCCCATTTTACTGCTGCAGCAACTGAAGCAAGGAGAGATTAAGTGATTTGCTCAGGGTCATACAACTAGTAAGTATCTGAGGCAAAATTCAAGCTTAGTTCTTCCTGACACTGAGTCCAGCATCCTGTCCAGTATGTCATGCATGAATTAGTGAGATCGCAATTGAGAATTAGTTACACAGATCTGTAGTTAGCCCAGTCATCACAGTGTTGTGACTTCCTTTAGGAATATGAGTGGTTATCCTTATCCCCAGTACCTAGCACAGTGCCTTGATAAGTGCTTGCTAAACTGATTTGAGGAGGTGAAAGTCAACATATTTTAGTTCTTATAGAGGTCCTTCCATTCCAAGGGTCTAGGCCATTTAGGTAGCCATTATGGCTTAGGGTGAGTTGTGAGTAGTGGCTAGTTAATTGCATACTTAAAAAGTTGAGCTTTTAAAAAAATTTTTTTTGGGAGGGAAATCATCTGAACCAATGCAGATGGGCCACTTTTAAGCAACTTTAGACTTAAAGAGTTACCTGGGAAGTTAGAAAATATAAGTGAATTATCCAAGGTCATACAGCTAGTATATGTAAGAGATGGGCTTACACCCACCATGCCATCTTGTGGTATAAGTTCCCCCCCCCCCCCTTTTTAAAGCAACTCAAATAGAAGTCATATAGTGGATCCTTTGGACTGATGACACATTCTGGGAATATGACATTCCAGAGACAATTTACTCGTTTAAATTGGTGAAGTAGAAATGAACATTAGCTCTGTGAAACCAAGACAGTTGTTTCTGTTTCATCTACCTGTCTAAATAATAATAGGATATGGATGAACTCGGGGGATTTAAGCAAAAACTAAATGACTTGAGTGTCTTTAAATACTGAGTATTCACAATGCTGTAGGGTCTACAATGAATATCTAGGAAATCCAACCCTGGTATCTCAAAATTTATAATCTGCTGTAATGTGGAAATGGTTTTAAAATATCTTTTATAAGTAAGTATAGGCAAGTCAGTGATGTGTCTTTGTGGCGATGATTTTAAAATACCTTTTCTAAGTAAATGTAGGAAATTTGGTGGTGAATGTCTTCATCGTGTTCCCAGGTTTTGTGAAGGAAGGTTTTGAGTTGACTTTAAATGAGGTTAGGGAGACAGTGGTCTGATTTGAGGTGACTTATGATCTTCCTTTCTGATAATACCTCTTAGCAATGAGAACTTTTTGTTAACAAAGTCGGTTGGGTTGTTGCAAGAAAGATTCAGAAAAATATTTCCTTTTCATGGAATCAAAATATTAGTGTTAGAAGGGAACTTAGAAATCATCTAATCCAGACATTCTTAATCTGAGATCCTTGAACTTGATTTATTTTATTTTTTAAATAACTTTCAACATAATTGGTTTCCTTTGTAATTGCTATATATTTTATTTTATGCACTTAAAAACATTATTCTGAGAAGGGGTCCGTAGGTTTTGCCAGGGTGCCATGGGGGTCCACGACACACGAAAGATCGAAGAGCCCCTGATGTCACTCATTCTCATTTTACAGATGAGGAAACTGGGAACCTTTCATTTGCTTATTTGAGATCCCATTTGGAGACTGCCAATATATGACTAGCCACATTTTTTCCATTTCAGATTTGGTTCTGTGATTTTTTTTTTAACTCTGCCACCCTGATAACAACAGCCACAAATTATTTTTTTTCTGGCGACAGTTTTAATGAGCTTATCATTTGAGTGGTCTTTAGTCTCTGGGTTAGTACCCAAGTTTTCTCTATCCTCTCCCAGTACCCTACCCCTAGCCTCCTGATGCTGGCTAAGGGGAAGAAACCATTTCAATATTTTGGGGCAACTTTAGAGCAAACCTGGTTTGAAGTTCAGGTTGTGAGCTGTGTCTTTTTTGGTCTCCCATGTTGTCCCTGGATGGCTATTAATTAACCTTAACTTCTTTTCTTAGTGCTCTCAGCTATTGGATGAAAACCTGAAGGACGACTTCTTTGAGGAAATCATTGAAGAGTATGAAGACATCAGACAGGACCATTATGAGTCACTCAAGGTAAATAAAAAAAAACAACTAGTTTTTACAATAAAATAACCCCTTTGTTTGCTGTGCTCCTGCTACATGCCCAGACTGAATATGCAGAGCTGTTTTCAAAAGTCAGCGTGCCATTTTGGCCTATTATTTGTCCCTTTGCCTAATGTGGGAAGAGGTATCCTATGCTTTCACTTACTACTGAGAGTCAGGTACAAAATGAGATAATATATTGCAATAAATGGATCAAACGACTGGATTGTGCTTCATAATGGCTAATTTCACTTCTTGTACTTTATGACATGTTTGGGTCATCCAGTTAACATCTTGCCTAAGATTTTCTCTGAGGTTAGATTCTCAGTTCTGCTCACTAATTCTAATTTACTGCTTTTTGTAAAAATCAACAAAAATCAGTGGAAAGGGAAATAAGCAGAAAGCTTGACATGAAATCCAACTAAGCAAGAAAATCTCCAAGAACATTTATTGATTAAACTGAGAAGAGGAGAACAAAGATCTGTGAATTGGAACAGATCTTGTGCCAGTATCTATTATGATCATTTCTCGTCTTCGGTAATTGTGAATTGTCTTTCGGACACCATAATTGGGTCCTATAGCTTCGGCACCCACTATGTCAAAGGAGGAATTAGAAATGTCACTTAAGATGAGTTGGGAAGCATATGTAAATGCAGAAGAAAGTAATTCTTCAGAAGATGGTTTTGAAGGCACTCAAGGATTGATTTTCAAGATGATCCAAAAAGAAGATTTCAGAAGAAGAAAAGAATCACTAACGATTGACTCACCTGCCTATTTTCTCATTTAAATAAACTGTCTCTGCTTGCTTATTGAGCTAAAAGTATGAAATGAAAACAGGCAATCTTGAAGACAATTTTCATCAGGCTGCATCTTCACAGACACACGTTTGACTGAAAACTGTAGAATCCTGCTGTGTTTGTGTGTTGATTACAAAAAATATTTTACTCACTGAAGCAAGCATAGCCTTAGGGGCTCTCCTCAAGCACAATGTCTTTTTTGCTTTTGGTAAGATAATGCATAGCTCCTGATAGATGCAGTCACACAGATTACTTTGTCCAACAGTTCTTTGAGTATTAACATCAAATGAGGCCTAAAATGAAGGAAGGCACATACAGCCAAGGATGTCCATGGAATGGAGGCTGTCCTGCACAGTGGCCAAAGGAGGATTTAGAACTGGAAGAGAAGTTAGAGGCCATTGAATTGGACCCCTTCGTTTTATAGACAATGTAACTGAGAGTTGGTGACATTAAATGACTTAACCACACAGATCATACAAATAGTGAGTGGCAGAGTCAAGATTTGAACCTGGATCTTCAGATTCAAACTCCTGTGCTTTTCCCACTGTAAGTGCTCATTTTTGTGGGTGATTTGTACTGATTGTATCAAACACCAGATTATACAGGGCCTCCTTTGTGAGGTCCTTATTCACTCAAAAAAGATTAGTTTAGCTACCCAATCAATTAATCAACAGATATGTCTTGAGCTCTTACTGTGTACCAGGTACTGTGGTAGTTGTGGGGGATACAGGTACAAAGAATTCAACAATCCTGATTGGCAACTTACGTTCTAAGGGGGAAGAAAATAAGTAAATACAGAATAAATATGAAGAAAATGTAAAAGTAGTTAAATACAGGGTAGTTTAGGAGGTAGGGCACCAGTATTTGAGGGGAACAGGAATGGCTTAATGCAAAAAATGGTGCTAGAGCTTGTCTTGCGGGAAGAGAGGGAGTATGAGATAGAGGTGGAAAGAGAAGACATTCCAAAGATCAAGGATGGCTAGTACCAAAGACAGGGAGATGGGAGATAAAATGTCACATATGAAAAACAGAGAAAGCCGGTTTGATTGGATCACAAATTGCCGGGTAGAGGAGTAAGGCTAAAAAATAGGTTGGGGCCAGATTGTAATGGGTTTTACAAACCACACAAAGGAGTTTATATATTATCTTAGAGGTAATAATGAACCACTGAGATTTATGGAGTAGGGTAGTCACAAGGTTAGATCTATGCTTAAGGAAAATCACTTTGGCAATAGGATGAAAGATAGACTGGAGGTGAGAGAGACTTAAGGGAAGGAGACCAACTAGGAGGCCACTGCAGTGTGATGAGGACCTAAAATAAGATGGTGGCCATGTGAGTAGAGTGAAGGGGTTAAGGGGAGGTGAAAACTGCAAGACAAGGCAGCTGGTTGGATACGTAGGATAGTGAGGGGGAGTCCAGAATAATGCCAAGATTATGAACCTGAGACCCTGAAAGGAAGGTAGTGACTTCAAAAGAAAAATAGAAGTTTGGAAGAGGAGGGTTTGGGAGAAAATTTAATGAGCCTCTTTTTGGACCATTGAGTTTGAAATGACCCTTTGACATGCAATTTGAAATGTCCAATAAGCATTTGGTGATATGGGGCTAAAGCAAAAAAGAGAGACGAGCTGGATATCTGGACCTGGAGTCATCTGCATAGAGGTGATAGACCGAAAGGAAAACAAAAAACAAGTGGACGAAGGCCTTATTTCTCAGATTATAATACTTAATTTCTTTAATTAGTCCATTGAGCTAGTCTATCAGCATACAGATTTTGGACAGGCAATGCAATAAAGTGGGCTCAGGCTTTGAACTGGAAAAAGAATGGGCTGCATCTTATTTGAGTTTCAGTGATTCCCAAATTGCTTTCTGCCACAAAGACCCATCTTTTAACACCAGTATTCTACCATTGATGGTTATAGGTCACCAAACTCCATAATATCAGAAGAATGAAAACGTAAGGTGACTGAAGAAGGATCAGTGAGGATATGGATGATGGGTGTATGTAGCGTGCAACATATTCTCAGTGCTGATTTGTAGTGGTTCAGGGTGTCCCTACCTGTATCTATATGTCCAAGTAATTCAAGCCTGCAGGTATTTACTAATTGCATGGTTATATGCCAGGTGCTGAAACGAATCCATTTAGGATAAAGAAAAGAAAAAAAAAAACATTTCCGAACAAGATCTGAACCTAAAGATTTTTGTTATTTAAGACATCCCTCTGGTTGAAAAAGCTGTCTAACATGAACATGTTTACAGTGTAGTCTTTGAAAAAATTCAGGAGGCCTTGACTGAGACTTTTTTTTTTTTTTTTTTTGGCAGGAAAGAAGATATTTAACCTTAGATCAAGCCAGGAGAAAAGGCTTCCATATAGACTGGCTCTCAGAACCACCCCCAGGTCTGTTTGGGACTGCTTGAGTGCAGGGGAAAGGGATAGAAGCAGTAATGGTAGAAAATTGTATGCACTTTAGAAATGCATCTACTATTATCCCAGAGCCAGAGCATGTTCCATTCCTTCCTTCTTTGGGGCTCAGATGAGGGAATGCCCTACTTAAAGTGCTTTGTGTTATTAATTCCATGTCAGTGTGAGCTCCTGTCCTGGTGGAGTCATCCCTTGCTGCCTAAAAGATCACTGAGTTCTAATCCCACTTGGTGTCTTGTTTGACATGTGACTTTTGGCAAATTCATAGTTATTGTCCTTTGAAGAGCCCAGGACTGGGAGTCAGGCAGCCTTGGTTCTGAAGTCCTAGTTCTGCCTTTAACTATCTGGGTTGCCTTATCAGCCATTTAGCCTTACTGTTTCTGTTTGCTCAGCTGTGAAATGGGAATGGTCACTTTTACCCCTTTGACATCATAGACAAGCTATTTACAGAGGTCTTTGAAAAAGCCAAATCTCTTTGCAATCATGAGTCTCCTGGCACTGTTGCTTCAAGTCAATGTAATAGTACAAGAAGAAGTTGGTTCCTGTCCAGTGAGATGTTAAAAAAATACAGTTCATTCACTCAGTGGGGAGCCACCCATGTAAATGACAGATGAGACACCTGCCAGTGTTAGGACAGTTTTCATTTCTGTTCTTCTGTCCTTCACTGGGAATGATTCAGATGCAAGCAGCCCTGTTCAAAGATTAGCCTAGGTAGTTTCATTCTGTGTTTGGGGGTGGGGAGCTCGTCTCCCACTTCTGGCGAGGTTCATAAAATGAGTTTTTTGGTGGTTTGTGAAGAGCTTATCCACCAGACTCAGTGTGTTCTACCCCATCAGCCATGTCAAACAGCAGTTTTCTTTTACTCTTTTCATTTTGTACATAAACAGAAAATTCTGGAGACTAAACATAGTCATGCTGCTTCTCGGATGCTGTTTGTGTAGCTGCCTTGACTTACTGCATATCAAGGAAAGCAGCAAGTGCCCAGCTTCTGTTCTGGGAGGGTCCTTTAATCTCCCATGTTTGACAGCCCCTTGAAAGCCCGCTAGTGGGTATACTGCTTAGAGGGCCGATTGAAGTCTCTAATTCAGAACTCTGAAGTGTTTTTTGAGGAAGATTTGGCTACGCCACTTAGTGGGGTTTAGGGGTTTATTTTGGCAGGGGGAGGGGGTTGAGGACAAGGAGTTGGAGGGAGAATCAGGGGCTTTTCTTCAAAGGCCCCAAGTAGCAGAGCTTCAAACACATGATAAGTTGGAAGGATAAACTTACCTCGAGTATACAACTGCCAGTTTGGCCTGATAATTCCATTTGATAATGAGAGTTCCATCACATGACAGGGTTAGACAAAACCTAGAAGTCTTTTAAAGTCTATCCCTGAGCACAGGGAAGTAAGACTGTTCCTGAATCATCTTAGACAGAGATGTTGACACTCTTTTTGAATGATGGAGATTCCATGGATTTTTCATTAATTCTCACTCCTCTCCAAAAAAGGATACATTAATATACATAGAGTAGGAATAGGGAGTGGACCTGTGATTTTACTGGTATGTGGAACTTCTAGACAAGGAAACTCCTTCTATGAATGCAGGTTACAATCTTCTCGGTAACTTACAGGCCTGAAGAGTTGCCTAGAACACCGTGTGGCCTGGGTCTGCACAGCTAGTGTGTCAGATGTAGGGACTCGGACCCAGATCTTCCTGGTTTCCAGGCCAATTCTCTATCTTTATACGATGAAGTATATCATATTATATAATTAAGTATATTATATTATAACCATTTTACATATGTGTGTTCTTTTCAAACGTCGATAGCCAAAAGTCCCTGTACAAATACCGAGGGATGAGATTTCTCAGACTTTTTGATTTATCTGTTCTAATGTTTCACAATTCTTGGTGCCAGGATGTTCTTCCTTCTGTTTAATTCAACTCTTTTGAGCTGAAATTAAGCCCTTTATGTCCTGCTGTCCGAAGGGGGTTGGAGAGTATAGTGTTTTGATATATAGGACAGAAGGTAAAGAACTGTGAAAACTGGCCCTATAGCCCACCGGCAGCTGGAAGAGCAAATGAAGGCTTTATTTTGTAGTCAGATGTGAGAATAAGGTTGACAGGTAGCGGGTGGGGAGAGGGTGTAGTAGTTATATATCAGGCAAAAAAAAAAAAAATAAGCTAGCTGTTCAAACCCTTCTCATGCCCACTTTTTATTCCCACTCCCCCCCATGCCACCATGTTCTTTCTGTTTGAAGACTTCCACTCTGCTTTATATGTATATTATTTATATATACTATTCATAAATACCCTTAAGAAGTACATATAGGAAGGTATCATGAGTCTCGCCTCATAAGGAAACTGAGAAACAGAGTTTAAGCATTTTGGCTTAACCAGATGCAGAACCAGCTGTAAAACCTCCAGTCTTCTGACTCTTGCTCTAACTCCTGCCGATAGCTTGTTCAGCACACTGGCAGTATTTCTGTTACCCCAGGCCAGAGGAAATAGCATAACAACACTTTTTCTCTGACAGCTCTTCCACCCCCTTAAATGAATTTTAAATTGCACAAGTGAAGGCTAGCCTCTTTTTATTTTGGGGGGGAGAAGTTGCCCCCAAGGACCATATACCAAGAGGCATAAAGAAAGTAATTTATTTAAGATGCAAGACAAAATTACTCTTTTCTCCAAGGCAATCTAAAGCAGCTCCCCCTTCTCCCCTCCCCCCAAAAAAACCCAATACAACTCCTACGGGTGACAGGAATAAGACAGTGTGTGGGAGTCTCCTGAGCAACTTCAGACTAAGAAACCAGAGGCCTTGGGAGGCTATGCATTCACTGTATGTGAAAGATGTTTAAAACTCCAAGCCTTGAATATTCCTAATAGTAACCTGTACTTTTTGTTTCTCTAGTGAAACCCAAATTTATTGGGACTCAAGTTTTTGAAGACTATGACCTGCAGAGGCTGGTGGACTACATTGACTGGAAACCTTTCTTCGATGTCTGGCAACTCAGAGGCAAATACCCCAATAGAGGTTTTCCCAAGATCTTTAATGACAAGACAGTGGGTCAGTTCAGTTGTTCCTTCCTTGCCATACTTTCCTCTCTTTTCAATAGAAAAGGATATTTGAATAGTAGTGTGCTGGGTGACATTTTGATCTCAGTACCGTATTAAGTTGCCTCCTCTGTGCCTAGTGTTGGGTGAGCTGGCCGATACAAAGGCAGAGATGAAACAGTCCTTACTGGTCGGCAGGGAGCTGAATTCAGAGTAGAAAGGAGAAGAACTGAGAAGTGGATTTGGAGTAGGTTACTGCCACTTGGGGTTGAAGATGGAGCTTATCTGGTCTGCTCTGACTTAGGAGAATTGGTGTTTTGGGGGGGAAAGTGTGGGGTGATAATGGGAGAAGGGTAGTGGATTTTTTAAAAAGCCTTTCACAAACTGTTCAACCTTGGTTCAACATAGATAAATGACCAGTCACCTAAATCACAGTTAAGACCAAATGGGGGACTTTGTGGATGACCGTAAGAGTACTGGGATTTCATAGGGATAGGTCATAATTATTGATTGATTATGTTATAAAGAATATGAGGTCGACTTTCTCTTCTAGAGGATATCTTTTCCCATTGCCTTTTAAAGTATCTGAAATGCCATCATAAGGAATCAGTGTTTGTGACTTAAAAGTTTTTCTTTTGTTTTGGTCTCACTCAGCATCTCTTTTCACTGCAAATACCCTGAGATTGGGGGTGATGATATCATAAGTTACTAGGAGTTAGGTGATAGCTGTAACTAGCCAAGGATCCTGGTAAGAGGCTAGAGGGGGAGGAAAAGATAAGGAATGAGGGGGCCAGGCAGAACTAGGAGAGGTAAGCTAGCTAACCAATCAGTCAGTCAAGAAACGTTCATTAAGTACCCACTATGTACCTGGAGCTGTGCTAAGCCCTGGGGATACAAAGAGACAAAAGACAGTCCCTACTCTCAAGGAGCTTAAAATCTCCCACAGGAGACAACTAGCAAATAAGTACTTACAAACTATATGTAGAATAAATAGGAGATAATTAAGAGAGAGAAGCCCTAGAATTAAGAGGGGTTAAGAAAGGCTTCCTGTAGAAGATGAGATTTTTAGTTGAAACTTAAATGAAGCTAGAGAAGCCAGCAGGTGGAGTTGAGAAAGGAAAGCATTCCAGCTTTGAGAGATAGCCCGAGAAAATGCCTGGAGTGGAAAGAGAGAATGTCAGGAACAGCCAGGAAGCCAACATCACTGGGTTGAACAGTACATATTGGGAGTAAGGTGTAAGAAGACCGTAAAGGGGGTCAGCTAAGTGGCTCAGTGGATAGAGCACTGGCCCTGGAGTCAGAAGGACCTGAGTTCAAATCCGGCCTCACATACTTATTAGCTGTGTGACCCTGGGCAAGTCACTTAACCTGGATTGCCCCCACATAAATAAATGAACAGATAAATAGATAATATTGTAAAAGTAGGAGGGGGTTAGGTTATGAAGGGCTTTGAATACCAAACAGAGGATTTTGTATTTGATCCTGGAGGCAATAGGGGGTACCTCGAGTTATATTGAGTGGGAAGGTGGCAAGTCTACTTCAGTCTGTCAGGAAACAAACCCATCTTCATGTGCAACAGTCGGAAATGAGTGTCTTTGTTGTAAACAGTGTCAGCATATACTTAACACGTAGAGATGGCAGCAGTGACTGGTTACTGCTTACTGTTCTTCAAAGAGCTGGGCCTAGTGTATGGTTTTTGAAAGAATCATTTGATTAAAGGACAATTCACAACAACACTGGGAGGTAGCTGCTGTTAAATATCCCCATTTCACAGTTGAGGACACTGAGGCAGAGGTTAAGTGACTTGCCCAGGATTACACAGCTAATAAGTGTCTGAGGTTGGATTTGCACTTAAGTCTCCCTGACTCGAGCCCAGTGCTCTATCCACTGTACCACCTCACTGCCTCAAAGAGCAGAATGCCAAAGATGGTTCCTTGAAACATTCAGTCAGAGATAAGACAGTTGTGGCTTTCAACATAAGTTAGAGTTAGCTTGGGGAAATAGACTATGGGGATTGGGAGTAGTGGCACTCCACTCTGAGACACCGAAAGCCACCTTAGGTTATGTTCATGGCAGTACCTGATGAAGTCTCTGGGAAAGTGGCATGAGAGGTAAGAGGTTGTTTTGTGGTTGTTTTTTGGGGGTGGGGGGAAGATGGGGAGAGGAGGTATTGTATTTTTAAAAAAAAAACATTTTGCTAAAATTATGAGGAACTTTTAAGTGAATTTTTTTGTTTTTATCTGATAGGAGAAGAAGCCAGAAAAGTGTATGATGATGCCCATAATATGTTGAAGGTACTGATTAGTCAAAAGAAACTACAAGCCAGGGGTATAGTTGGATTCTGGCCAGCACAGAGTGTCCAGGATGATATTCATTTGTATGCAGAAGATGCCGTACCACAATCTGCAGAGCCAATAGCTACATTTCATGGCTTAAGACAACAGGTAAGAAAACCCATTATTTGTGAGCTATGAGGTGGCTTCCTCCTCACCTTTGACTAAGTCATTAAATGAAATGTAATAACTCAAGCTCAAAGTCTGAAAAATTATGCCAGAGCTAGGTTCTACCCGGAAAACGATCAATAAAGAAATAGGGAATGAATTTGTTGGGCTGAGATAGAGGCTGTTTGTGTGATGAATGACAGCAGAAATGTCAGGCTGACCAGCATACTCAACGCAGAGGCTCAGACAGGAACAAGGCCTCTAATTGAGGCTCTTAGGGGTGGTTGCTCAGAGGACATCTGGCAGACACTGCTTTCTCATCAGTCTTTTTACATACACAAAGAGTAACAATACCAGTGATTTACTCAAAAGATGCGTGTTATGTGCACCATACATTTATAAGTGAAATTGATTGTGCCTGTTCCCTAATGGGGAAACCACGGAATCTTGCTTAGAATTCCCCAAATACCATTTTACCCTGACCCTCCTTTAAAATGTAGATATTCCTGGCAGAGGTGGGTGGTAGGACAATCAGCCTGGCTAAGGATACTTATAATAATATACCAGAGGATTTGACCCTGCTTTTTCTGACTTCAACTCTGGCATTTTATGTACCATCTTATGTTGCCTCACAATAAAAATAATAGCTCATAGTGCTTATAAAGATTTACAAAATGCTTTATATAAGGAATTTCACTTAATTCTCACAAAATCCCTATGAGTTAAGTGGTGCAAGTGGTTATCATTTCCATTTTATGGATGAAGAAACAGAGTTAATGAAGTTTTTAAAGTTTAAGAAAATATTTTTTGTTACTGATAACTATTTTTGACATCACCCAAATTATATTTCTCCCTCTTGGTGGGAGCCATCTCTTATAACAAAGAATGTTTTTAAAAAAAAAAATAAGAAAATTGTTTCCCTTTTTATGAGAATACTGAAAAAATATGACACTACACTCAATCTTCTATAGCTATGCACACCCCTTTCCCCAAAAAACTGCAAGGGGGTTTGTGGGTGACAAGTGTGTTCTCATCTCTCTGCTTTGGGGCCAAGCTTGTTCTTTATAATTTTGGCAAAATTTATTCTTAATTATTTCATGGTTGTGTTTTTTCCATTTACATTGTTGTTAATCGTTGTGTAGCCTTCACGGAGTTAAGAGACTTGTAGGCAGAGGTCGTATTCAAACTCAGGACTTCTGACACCGAGTAAAATGACCTTTATGTCTCCTTATCGATGAAAGTCAGTTGGGTGGCACAGTGGATAGAGTGCGGGGCCAGGAGACAGGAATATTCCTCTTCCTGAGTTCAAATCTATCCTCAGACACTTACTAGCTGTATGACCCTAGGAAAGTCATTTAACTGTCTTTGCCTCAGTTTCTTCATCTGTAAAATGAGCTGGAGAAGGAAATGGCAAACTGCTATAGTGTCTTTGCCAAGAAAAAACCAAATTGGGTCACAAAGAGTCAGAAATGACTGAAAAATCACTGAACAACAACAGCATCAATAATTGAAATGAAGATTGAGAAAAAAGATTTGTATAATCATTGGTTTTCTTGACCTTTTTTTGTAATTAAAATAAAAACAATATTAGACCCCATTTTTAAAATGAGGTGTGTGGTTTTCTTTTTAATCATCCAAATGTATCTGTAGATGGCATCACCATTTAACTGCATTTCTCTTCTCGGTTTTTGATTTTAAGGCAGAAAAGGACTCTGCCAGCCCAGACCCCTATTGTTGCCTGTCTGACTTCATAGCTCCTCTGGAATCTGGGGTCCATGACTACTTGGGCCTCTTTGCTGTGGCCTGCTTTGGAGTAGATGAACTGAGCAAGACCTATGAGGAGCAGTGTGACGTCTACAGCAGCATCATGGCTAAGGCCCTGGGAGACCGGTTGGCGGAGGTAAAGAATCAGGCGTGCACTAGGAGCATCTTTTCTTGGCTAAACTCACTCTTAGAGGCACTTTGGGGGCTGTATTGGTGATGAAATGAGTTGCTTGTTCCTACATAGAAAAAAGGTGGACAACATAGCAGCTCCACAAAACTGGAGGAACTGCCAGCTTTTATTTAACTTCAGTAGCCTTAGGACAGACCCCAGTGCAACGTGTGAGTAGGTGTGAACATTGAAAATGTCACCTGCTAAAACTTCCTTTTTAAAATGATGGTTAAAAATTTTCTGTCCATCTAAATCTGGCTACTTTCAGAGAAAGTTTCAACTTAGCCAGAGTGACTTCTTATAGATTTCTTCCTTTCTCCTACCTCATTCTCTAATTTGGTACCTGACTCTCACTTTTACTCACTGTAGTCTAGGGTGGAGGCGTCAAACAGGGGGCCTGTGGGCAATCTGCAGCTAGAACAAGATTAATAATTAACTGAGTAATATTTAACAAAATAAATAAAAATACAATAAAATATAGATAATGTTAATATGTAGTTTTCTAAGTCAACGTGCAATAATTCTTATATACAGTGTAGTGACTCCTGTTTTTATTTAACACCACTGTTACAGGGTCATAAAATTCTTCTGTATGCTTGGCACATAGTAAGTAAGTGGCAGCTATTTCTTTAGTTCACCAAACATTCATTAAGCACTTACTGTGTGCAAAGCTCTGGGGCTATGAGACAAAAACAGTAAAATCCATTTCTTCAAGGAGTGTATATTTTACTGGTGCTATACGACACACAGTTACATCAGTACAAGATAATTTGAGGAGAGAGAGAAAACAACTAAAGGAATCGGGAAAAGCTGCCTATGGGAGGTGGCACCTGAGCTAAGCCTTGAAGCATGCTAACGGTTGTAAGAGGTGGAGGTGAGGAAGGAGTGCAGTCAGAACATGGGGCACTAGCCTGCGCAAAGACAAACAGTGGGAGATGGGATGTCTGTCTGGGAACAGCAAGCAGGTCAGTTTGCCTGGAACTTAAAATGTGTGAGGAAAACAAAATGAAGTAAACCCAGAAAAATAGGCTGGAGTCAAATTGTGGAAGGCCTTGAATACCAGTCTGAGGAGGCTGCATTTAAACTTAGAAGTAATAGGGAGCTACTGAAGATTCTCGAGCAGGGGAGTAACGTGGTCAGGCTTGTGGCTTAGGGAGATTATTTTAGCAACTCTGGTGGAGAAGAGAGAGTGACAGGAAGCTAATTAGGGGGATGTCACAATAATCCAAGCTTGAGAAGTGATGAAGACCCAAACTAGGGGGATGGCTGTCTAAGCAGAAAGGAAGGGACAGATGTGAGTGATGGTATGGAAGTAAAATCAGCAGGACCTGGCGACTGATTGAATACAAGGGGTGAGGGAGTTGAGGATGACTCTTGGTTTTGTTTGACTATGCTTATATGATACAAAAGGTTTTGTTTTGTTTTGTATTTTCAGGGGAGAAGGGTAGGGGAGCATATGGAAGGGAGAAAAATCAAATCCTTGAGAACTGAAAAAAATGTATACATTTACAAAAAAAGGAGAGAAAGAAAATGCACTTCAGGTTGAGAACCTGGGTGATTGGAAAGATGTCCTCAGTAGAAATAGGGAAGTTTGGAGGAGGGGCAGGTTTAGGGAGGAAGGTGATGTGTTGTGTTTTAGACATGTTGCGTTTGAGATGAATATGGACTATCCAGATGGAGCCATCCAGCAGGCCATTGGATGATATGAGGCTAGAGTATAGGAGACAGAGATTTGGGAATCATTTGATGGTAATTAAACCACGGGAGTGGCAAAAATCACCAAGAAGCAGGCTATGGAGAGAGAAGAAAAGACCCAGGACAAAGCCCTAGGTGGAATCTCATTATTAGGGCTTGGGAGATGGCTGGTAATTCAACAATTAAACACTAGGCTTGATTTGAGTGATGGAGCCGGAAGGGAGCATAGAGCCCACCCCTGTCAATACCATTTTACAGATGAGAAAACCAAGACCCTTAAAGGATGTTAAGTGACTTGTCTAAGGTTAGCTAAGAAGTGACAGCCAAAATGCAAATTCATAAAGTCTTTTGACTCCATATCTAGTCATTTTTTCTAGCACACACACTGCCCTTTATAATTCTATTTTAGAACTGCCCAGCATAGGCTTTATAGATTCTGATTTTTCTTATGCATGTAATTAAGGTTAGAGGTTGGTCTTAGTCTTTCTTTTTTTTTTTTTCCCAATTAAAGATGTCAAATATTACTGTCTCCTTAAAAGATATTTCTTAACCTCAAGGAGTAATACTGGAATACATTCTAGTAGAACATAAGCTCCTTAAGGAAAAAGACAGTTTCATTTTTTGACTTTGTATCTCCAGGACTTAGCATAGTGCCTTACATGTAGCAGTGACAAAATAAATTTGTTTTTTTAAGTAAGTTTTTATTGCTGGATTGTTTTTTTTTTTTAATATCACCATGTTTTCCCCCCAGTATCTTTCCTTTCTCTTCCAGAGAGCCATCCGATATAACAAATAATATTGTTTTAAAAACAAAAAAGAGAAAGAAGAAAAAATTGGTACAACTGATCAATGCATTGAAAAAATTGAAAAAATACATGCAGTATGCAATATCCATGGACCTCTTTCCTCTGCAAGGATGGGAGGGGAGTGTCTTCTCATATCTCTCCTTTCGAGCTATGCTTGTTCGTTATAATTTTTCAGTGTTCACTTTTGATTTTGTGTGTGTGATTGTTCTTTCCATTTACATTGCCATAGTCATATATTTTATATATATATATATATATACATGGTTTTCTTGGCTCTGATTTTTCATTCTGCCTCAGTTTGTATAGATTTTTCCATGCTGCTCTGTATTCATCACATTTTTTACAGCACAGTCATATTCCATTATATTCCTGCACCATAGTTTGTTTATCCATTTCCCAGTTAATGATTATCTACTTTGTTTCTAACTCTTCGTTGTTAGAAAAAGTGTAACTATAAATATTTTGGTGTATTTCGGTGCTCTTTTTTTTGTCAGTCTTGGGGTATAAGCCCAGTAATGGAATCTCTGAGCCAAAGCATATGGACCTTTTAGCTATTTTATTTGCTAATTCCAAATTGCTTTCCAAAATAGTTTATATTGATTCAGCTCCTCCAACAATGAACTAGTGTAACTATCATCCCTGAATGAATGTTTGTTGAATTGAATTGAATAGAGCTTTTCATCCAATAGGATTCCTTTGCTGGTAGAGAAAATTTCAGCAGTCCTTGTGGGCTGGACACCAGTAGTTAACAGTGGTCTGTGAGCTGAGGTTGGGGAGGGGGTAGAATGGAGACTTATTTGTTGTGGTACACTGGAAAGTACTTTATTTGGAGTCAGAAGACTTAAATTTGAATCCCATATCTTCTCTGTACTATCTATGGGATCACTTAAACTCTTAAACACTTAAACTGCAAGTCACTTAAACTCTTTTTGGCCTCAATTTTCTTAAAAATTAGGGGGTTGAACTCCCTTGGGTTGAATCTCCAAGGTTCCTTCTAGCTTTAAATCCTGTGATCTCAAGATGAGGTTCCAAATTCTGAGGTGACACCTGAATTAGACAAAGGAGACCAGGTGGTGAAGGAATAAATCCAAGTAGCCTCCTCTGTCCTATCTCCTGGACTGAGATACTTTCCTTCTGCTCTGCATTAGTTCAGAATCTATAAATAGATGGCCTTAGAGGCCATCTAAGGATCATTTTACAGATGAAGGAATTGAGGCCAAGGAAAGTTTAGTGACTCACCCAAGGTCACTGAGGTAGTAAGTGTCTGAGGTGGGATTTGAACTAAGGCCTTCTGACTCAGAGTCCATATCATACTGCCTGTGCTGCTTCCTCTGGATAAGGATGACCACTTTTCTATTTAAGGCTTTTGCAGAAGAACTTCATGAAAGGGTTCGCAAAGAATTGTGGGCTTACAGTGACAGTGAGCAGCTAAATATTGCTGACCTGCGGAAAATCTGGTATGAGGGCATCCGTCCTGCTCCTGGTTATCCCAGCCAACCTGATCATACTGAGAAGGTCACAATGTGGAGACTTGGTCACATTGCAGAAACCACAGGTATTAGTCTAGAAAATGGATATGCTTCCTCCAAGCAGAAAGCACTGGATATGTTAAAAGCAGCTGAAGAGAGCCAAAGGAAAAGCTATTTATATAACTAGTGGCATTTAAGCCACATATGTAGGTTTTTGTGTGTGTGTGTGTGTGTGTGTATGCATACTCACATTCATTGTCTGATTTTAATATTTTCAATTGTTTTTCATCTGAATCTGTTTGGTAGTTAGTTATACAAGGCATGCAGAAAACCTGTACCTTAGTGGAATATCAATTTAATGCTTGAAGAGGTATTAAGCTTCTGTTAGGGCTTTTTAAACTCACTTCACTCTACCTTCCCACCCCCAAATCACCCTTAGGCCTGATAATGTGAATGTAGACAACCTATCCTAATTTGGGATGTTCTCAGGATATCTCTGAACCTGAGTTAGAGTCCCTGAAGGGAGCTATTTTCTCTTCTCTCTTTTTTTAATTTATTTATTTGTTTTTAGTTTTCAACATTAACTTCCAAAAGCTTTCAAGTTTAAAATTTTCTCCCCCTTCCTCCCCTCCCTCCTCCCCAAGACAGCGTGCAATCTGATACGGGCTCTACATATACATTCATATTAAACATTTTTACATGAGTCATGTTGTAAAGAAGAATTAGAACCAATGGGAGGAACCACGAGAAAGAAGAAACAAAACAACAACAAAAAAGAGCAAATAGTATGCTTCCATCTGCATTCAGACTCCATAATTCTTTCTCTGGATGTGGACAGCATTTTCCATCATGAGTCTTTTGGAGCTGTCTTAGATCCTATCTTAGATCCTTGCATTGCTGAGAAGAGCCAAGTCTATGGAAGTTAGTCATCGCACAGTTACTGTTACTGTGTACAGTGTTCTCCTGGTCCTGCTCACTTCACTCAGCATCAGTTTATATAAGTCTTTCCAGGTTTTTCTGAAATCTGCCTGCTTATCATTTCTTATAGCACAATAGTGTTCCATTACATTCATATACCACAACTTGTGTAGCCATTCCCCAACTGATGGGCATCCCCTCAATTTTCAATTCTTGGCCACCACAAAAAGAGCTGCTACAAATATTTTTGTACATGTAGGGCCTCTTCCCATTTTTGTGATCTCTTTGGAATACAGATCTAGAAGTGGTATTGCTGGGTTAAAAGGTATGTATAGTTTTATTGCGTCTTGGGCATAGTTCCATATTGTTCTCCAGAATGGTTGGATTAGTTCACAACTCCACCAACAATGCATTAGTGCCCCACATCTTTTCCAACATTTATCGTTTTCCTGTTTTGTCATGTTTTAGCCAATCTGATAGATGTGATGTACCTCAGAGTTGCTTTGATTTGCATTTCTTTAATCAATAGTGATTTAGAGCATTTTTTTCATATGACTATAGATAGTTGTAATTTCTTCATCTGAAAACTGCCTGTTCATATCTTTTGACCATTTATCAATTGGGGGATGACTTGTATTCTTACAATTTTGACTCAGTTCTCTGTATATTTTAGAAATGAGGCCTTTATCAGAGACACTGGCTGTAAACATTGTTTCCCAGCCTTCTGCTTGAAGGGGAGCTATTTTCATGTGGATTCTTAGACTCTTAAGCTAGGGTGGCGTAGTGGATAGAGAGCCACCCTCAGAGTCAAGGAGACCTGGGTTCAAATCCTGCCTCTTGACACATAACTGGCTATGTGACCCCTGGATGAGCCACTTAAATTCTCAATGCCCTAGCCTGTTCTGTTAAGAAAAAGAATTTTTTTTAAATTGTAGAACAGTTGCCCATGCCCCCAGTAGAGTTTTCTTTTTCTTTTTTTTTTTTTCAGGAATTCCCAATGCCAAAGAAATAATTGTCCAGGCAAAAAAAAAGGGAGGGGGGAGTGGGTGCCTTAGAAACCACTAAGCTATTCAGGAGTTTCCTATGTAAGCCTAAGTCCAGGCTTAGTGTGGACAACTTAAAGTTACTTTGGACCAAGGTGAGTTATTTGAAACCATGTTTGTGTCTAGGTCTTGGGGAGGGGTCCACAGAAGTTAATCAGGATGATGGTGGGGGAGAAGGCCTTCATATTCTGTCTTCCCCTCCTCTCCCCTCGATAAGAAGGTCACCTGTCCTGCATTGATTTGCTGTTCTGAGCCATTCTGGTTCCCTTTGGTTATTCATGTGGCAGCATCCTCTAGTAGCTAGTTGGGAGTATACAGAGTTGTAGCCCTAGCTGGTTTTCATGGCTCTGCCCTTATTCAGGAAGCAAGGCCCAGAGGTAAGACTTTCATTGTCTATCCTTTTTCTTCTTCCCAGGGATTGAACTTACGGAATCGTTAGCAATGGCACCTGCTTCAGCTGTCTGTGGTCTCTACTTTGCCAATCAGAACTCCAGATACTTTTCTGTTGGTAAAATTTCCAAGGACCAGGTAATCAATATTCATCGTTGTAAATGTCTTCCTCTGAAACCTAATAATGTTAAATGAAATTGTGAGACTTATTTGAATTTAAATGTAAATTAAACTCACTTGCGACAGGGCAGTAAAACTTTGTCCACTTACTATCTGAATTTGATCCCCTTAATCATCTTTTCTTTCCTTCCGATAATTATTAATACACAGTGTTTTCTGCCTAAAGAATGATCTAATTTGGTCTGTAAAATAAATGCCTTTTAATGACTGTTAAGAGAAGAGAGACAGTGTAGTGTAGTAGTTAAAGAGTCAGCCTAGAACTCAGGTAGACTGAATGCCAAGCCTGCCTGTGACACGTACTGGCTGTGTGACCTTAGGCAAATCACTTGACCTCTCAGTGCTGCCACACACCTCCCCCAACCCCTACTTCAGGAAACCAACTAAGAATGTAAAGTGTAGAGTAGTTTTACCCATCCCCATTGGGCAGGTTCTGTGCCAACAAAATTAATTTCCTTAATGGGAGCTCCTTGTCTTTATGCCAATGAAATCATAGGTCTAGACCAAAAAAAAAATCTGTCGACATCTTTGTTTAGTCATTTTCAGTCATGTCTGACTCTCCATGACCCTTTTTGGGGTTTTCTCTTCGCAAAGATACTGGAGTATTCTTGCCACTTCCTTCTCCAGATCATTACAGATGAGGAAATTGAGGCAAACAGGGTTAAGTGACTTACTCAGGGTCACACAGCTAGTAATAATGTTTGAGGCTGGATTTGAACTCAGGAAGATAAGTCTTCCTGACTTGAGGCCCAGCACTCTATCCACTGCTTCACCTAGTTGTTGGTACCTATCTATTCTAATAGATTGCCATAAAAGAATTCTGGATTTGAAGTCTGAGTAGCTGGGTTCAAATTCCATCTTTCATGCATAGTGCCTGCCCGACCTTGAAAATGTTACAGACTCAGTGAGCCATATTTTCCTCATCTGTAAAGTGAGGAGAGTGGAGAAAATCAGATGACCTCTGGGACCCTTCTAGCTCTGTACTGTGGATCCTATGATCCATTAAGAATGTGAATGGAGGGGCGGCTAGGTGGCGCAGTGGATAGAGCACCAGCCCTGAAGTCAGGAGGACCTGAGTTCAAATCTCACTTCAGACCAAACATGTGACACTTACTAGCTGTGGGACCCTGGGCAAGTCACTTAACCCCAATTGCCTTAAAAAAAAAATAATAATGTGAATGGAAAGAGCATCGACTTCTTTGCCACTAATTAGCAGTGTGACCTTGGGCAAGTTCCTTAGGCGCTCTGCCCAGTTGCCTTATGGACAACATGAGAGAGTTGTGCCAGGTGATGTCTAACGATTAGATCTTCCTGATCTGCATATTGTTCTTCTGCCAGCGTTAGAGACTTGGGTTTACCGGGTCCTGCTACTATTGACAGACTGTTTCGGATCTTCTTTTGCAGATCGAAGATTATGCTTTGAGGAAAAACATGTCTGTGGATGAGGTTGAAAGATGGCTGGGACCCATTTTGGGATATGATGCAGACTAACTGTCCTGTCATCTTCCTTCCATCTGAAGCTACTTCAGAAAACAGACCCCCGAGTGCCTTTAAAAATACCACAGCTGATTAGCATCTAATGCATTGGCCTACTTAAGGTTTGGGAAGACTTCGGGGAAAAACCATTTGATGATGCAGAAGATCTCTGTCATCACCATGATGTGCATTTGTGTGACACTGAAAGTGAGCTGTTTTTTGTTTGTTTGTTTTTGTTTTTGTTTTTGTTTCTTTTAGGTAGGCAAAATGGAATGCAGTATAGAGATAGCTAGCTGTGGTCATATGTGTCAGAGGCTACCTACAGATAAAGTAAGAAGTTAACTGATTGTATTTATTAAGAACCTCTATGTGTTGGGCATTGTGCTAAAGATAGAGTTAGTAAGTAATATATAAATAGGGGTAATTTTCAGTAGGTAGCTGTAGTACTTGGTTGGCTTCTCAGTTTATGTTTAGCTCATACCCAGAATACTATTTTACAGATTACTTAACTGGACTTTTTCTTTTTTTTTTTTTTTTTAAACATCAAGTCACAGTTTAATTGAGTCTGGAATCAGGAGGACCTGGGTCAGAATTCCACCTCCAGAATGTACTGTTGACCACAGGGAATTCCCTTCACTTCTCTGAGCCTCAATTTCTTGCAAAATGGGGATGATAATAAATCTGCAGGACCTACCTCCCAGGGTAGTTGTGATACCCCAGTGAAGAAGTATAGGCAATGTCCCTTATTAATAAAAGAGAGACGTGAACTTAAGGCCAGCTGGCATTATGAGAAATGAGACACTAGGGGCAGGGATTGTTCCTTTTGTTTTTTAACTTTATGTCCCTGGTGTTAAATATTTGGTGAAATAGATTGAACCTGGCAGTTAAATCTTGCATGGAGGAAAGTGTGGGCTGCTCCCCCTCCATGAGACTTCATTTTTAAAGGTAATTTAGTATATTTCTATCAGAGTGAGCGAGAATCCTGCTTGAGTGGAGGCAGACCTGTGGTAGCTCAGGTTTAGGGTAAATAAAGTCATCTCAGAGGTAATTTGAGTGGAAGTATTTTAGCTTCATCCTGCTTATCATACTCCCTACATTTCCCTGACTCCCCCAAAAAGTGTCAGGATTTCTGTGCTAGGAAAAGAATGATAAATAATATCTTCCTTTTTCAAAAATGTTTTAGATCTGGGGCTAAGTAGTGGGGTTTCCCCCATTCTTTTTAAATCTGAAGCAGCCTTTGAGGCCCAGCTCCAGTCTTAACACTCTCAATAGACCTTGTTCAACCACTCTGATGTACATTGAATTCTCCCTTATTTGAACTCTGATAACCACAATCTCTATCATACACACATGGTTCAGTTTTTATTGGATTCTTAATCATTTAATATGAGTGTCAGTCTTCCTTTCACAGTTAAACTTAAGCATCTTAAGGATAGGGGCCCTGTGTGTTCTGCAGTGTATCCCTCATAACACCTAGAACAGTACTTGGCACATAGGAGATCCCATTTGAGAGGCGATATTCTAGGTTACAAGAGGTAACATATTTGTAGTAGATAGAGAGCTGACCTAAGCTTCAGAGAATCCTGGGTTTCAAATCCTACCTCTGAAACACACTGGCTGGGTTACCTTGGGCACCTTTCACTCCCCCAGCCCCTGGCAATTCCCTTAAGGCTGTAAGTTGCAGAGGAGTAGCTGATCTGCTTTGGGGGAATTTCTTCACTGGGCATTACCTGCAGCAATGAAATTGCAAATTTGGACCAAAAAAAAAGCATTGTCAAAGAAGAGGTGGGGAAGAGGCCAAGGGAACATGTATTTGTCAAGTACCTACTATGTTCCAGGAACTGTTCTAAGTGCTTTACATATGTTTTCTTTTGATGAGGTAAGGTTCCCTGGTCCTTCAACTTCTAGATCATAGAACATAACTACGGGAAAATTAGCTTGCCCTGTCTTTTGCCAGCTTTGCCAACCATTATGTGAACCCAAAGCATTTAGGTCAACTGTTGTCCTGTACATACATAGAGGGGTGTGTGTGTGTATGTATGTATGAGATGAGAGAAAAACATACATATGTAAATTTTTAAAAATTCTTCAGTATATTTTAAGAAAAGTGGATTACCTAATACTAAGATGGTAAAAAAAGTAATATATTTACCTTTATTCTGCTTCATAAGTGCTACAAAGCACTGAATGAGTTCCATAGCATTTCCCTTTTTTAAAAAATCCGACGTGAGAGAAAGAATAACTCCTAAAAAATTTTTTTAAGCACATTACATCGGAATGGAATTACCAACAGTCTACCTTTTTCCATTAAATGTCATTCACCATCTTTTCTGCCCTCTTGTAGATGAAACTATATCTTTGAATCTATTGTTGAGAGAACCCTATGTCAGGTGTCACTTATTCTAGAGAAAAAAAATTATGTGTGCATATGAGAGGTTGCAATGTAAAATAAAATTTGAAAACACCCACTTTGTTTTATTCTTGTGTGTCAAGCAAAAGGTGCCAGGAAGGAAGAACTTTGGAGACATGCGTGCATCCTGCAGGCAGATGTTCCACATTAGGATTCCTACCTATCCAGATCCTTCCCTGGGGGGTGTCTGGCAGTCTTCCCCCTCCCCCCTACTATTTAATTCATTTTAAATAAAGCTGAAGGTGTTTTTTCCCCCTCCCAACTGCCGAAGAAATTTGCATTCCAGAGCGTCCTCATTCAGCTGCTAGCTATCTTAGTTCATATTATGGCTAGGTGTAGAGAGCAATGTGTGGGAAGGTGGTTGATCGTTGTTGGCTACAGGTAAAAAGGATCAAGTTCTGATGGTTTTAAGACTGTTTCTGCACATTGAGCCTCATTTGCCCCCTAAGGGTGCAAGAATTATGGGGAAACTAGACAAGAGACAGGTCCTAGCATAATTTGTTGGAAGCAGATCAGTGAAATCCAGGGTGACCTGACTGGAGCCATATTTCCAATCACCATTATTATACAAGAGGCCATAACAATAATGGTCTATAAAGGGTAGTATGATATTTTTGTACGAAAATTAGAAGTTTTTAAGAGCCACAGCCAGGTTGTGTGTGAACCACATGCAACTCCAGATCTGAGGTATGAATGTCACTGCAGAAGATGTTCGATGACTCTTGCTATCACACGAGCTCATCAGGGGAGAAGGTAATTGTGTCCTGGCCTCTGGCCTGGGTAGCATATTACATGTGTGTGGGTGTGCCCCACTTGAGGGCAGGTATCCTAGAATCTTAGTACTAGAAGGGACCTTACAAGTCATCAAAACCAACATTTTACAGCTGAAATCATCTCAATGGTTCGTTGACTTCTGGATGTGTGTGGGACAAGGTACCCATTGAAGTCATTGAGTCCCAAAGTGGGATGGGACTTAAGAGGCGGTATAGTCAAGCTAACGGAAGAAAAGGGGCTCCCGTCTATGGCATCAGTAATAGGCATTCTATCTCTACCCGAAGACCTCTGGTGAAAGGAAACTCATTGCTTCCAAAGACAGTCCGTACCGTTCTATCCTTGTAATTCCCTTCTGCCATTGGTTAGTTCTCCCTAGAGCTATCCTTTACCACCATGCCCTCATGTGAGTCCCTTCTCTCTCCTCCCCTCCCCCAGCTTTTCAGTTCCCTTTTGTGTAATCTCTCGGAAGGCAGGGACTGTTTTTCTTATTTGTGTCATTAGAGCTTAGCATTGTATTGTGAGTGCTTACTACATGCTTCCTGATTTCTTAGCTATAATTGTTAGGAATTTGTTCCCCTTCATATCTAACCAAAATCTACTCCTTTCCAATTTTCACTCATTGCACTTAATTCTGCCCCTTTACCCTGTCTTTGGGGCCAGGCAGACCAAGTGCAATCCCCATTCTGTATTACAGCCCTTCAGATACATTAAGACAGCTAGAATACCCACCTTGCCTACTTTGTTCAGGTTAAATTGCCTTAATTCTTTTAACCAGCCAGTACAGAATGGTAGATTGAGTGCATGACGTGGTGTCAGTAAGACCTGACTTTGATTCCCACCACAGACACTTAGTGGTATGACTTTGGGCAAGTCATTTAAACTTTGCTTCAGTTTCCTGTTCTATAAAATGGAGATTATAACACCTACTTCTTAGGTTTGTTGTGAGAATCAAATTAGATCATACATGTAAAATGCTTTGCAAACTTTAAAATGCTATAAAAACACTAGCTGTTATTAATTGTATGTTGGCCTAGCTTTTTCTAGCTCTGTACAGAGACCTGTGTATAAAACCCTTCACAAATGTACTGATTTGTCAGAAGGGACAAAGGATGGGGAAGATGGTAAAGGGCTGGAGTCATTTGTACTTGCCCAGCAGGAAGGAGAGGAATTAGTGCCACTAAACGAATTTCTCCTTCCCCCTCTTTTTTTTTCCAAAGAGTCATGCACTCCATAAGCAGAATACTCCTTCTTTATGTAACAACCAAATTGCTGTTTCACAAAGGCGAATACATTAGCAGCACTGCTGGAAAGTCATCAAAAATCACGGCTAAGTTACTATTCCTTGAATATGCCACACTTGAATATCCCACATGTGTGGGTGCTGTTTCTGACACCTCAAGAGAAGCCAGTAATAGTGGCAAAGCAGAGCAATTGTGACTAGATGGCAGTTATTAAAAAGTTGTTCCCTGGCCTTGATCTGCATTTTTACCCACACCACAGACACCTGGAGGGTTTGAGTGGCCTATTATCTCTTATTTTCAGAATGTATTGAGAGTTTTTTCAGAATATATTGGAAGTGAAGAGGAATTAAGAAGCCTCTTGATGAAGGTGAAAGGAGAGAGTATAAAAGCTGGCTTGAAGCTTAACATCAAAAAAACTAAGATCTTGGCAACTGGTCCCACCACTTCCTGGCACATAAAGGGAGAAGAAATGGAAGCAGTGTCAGATTTGATATCCTTGGGCTCAAAGATAACTGCCATGAAATTAAAAGATACTCCTTAGAAGGAAAGCTATGGCAAATCTGGACAGCTTACTAAAAAGCAGAGACATCACCTTGTTGACAAAGGTCCGTATAGTCAAAGCTATGGTCTTTCCGGGAGCAGTGTATGGCTGTGAGAGTTGGACTATGAGGAAAAGCCAAGAGCTGCAAAATCGACGCTTTTAAGTTGTGGTACTGAGAAGACTTTTCAGAGTCCATTGGAGAGCAAGGAGATCAAATCAGTCAATACTTAAAGAAATTAATTCAAGTTAGTCAGTGGAAGGTCAAATACTGAAGCTGAAGATTAAATACTTTGGCCACATAATGAGAAGACAGGAGTCACTGGAAAAAAACTCTAATGCTGGGAAAGATTGAAGGCAAAAGAAAAGGGAACAGCAGAGGATGAGATGGATGGATAGTGCTATCGAAACAACAAACATGAATTTGGACAGACTTTGAGAGATGATGGAGGGTAGAAGGGCCTTGTGTGCTGTGATTCATGGGGTCACAAAGAGTTGGACATAACGGAATGACTGAACAACAATGATTGGAAGTTGCTCATTTCTCTCATTTGATTTCTTTTTTTCTCTTCTGGGTAGAGATAGAGTATTTGCCATGTTGGGCTGAATATAGAGTGCTGTGATAGGACTACTGCTCTCTACCAGGATTCCCTCTCCCACTGCCACATGGGTTAGGCTGGTTTCTCTTAAAGGTGAGGAAGCTGTCTCTGGGACTTGATTGGCCCAGGAGCTAAGGCTCAAACTGTCCCTCTTATTGTTGCTTTCTCTGGATGTATGAAGAGGGGTTTCCTTTTCATCAGAGGGCATAAAAGAGTCCAAACTCCCCATGGAGTCCAGCTCCCAAGAATTGGAAGATGTTCCAAGACTGCCACCATATCTTACCTTTCTAAATAGACACTTCACATATGGAGGCAGGGGGCCTAGTTTATCCAAATTAAATGCTGTAATATCCTTATTGAGTAGCCTTTCCATGCTATGGATAATTAAACCTCTTTTTTTGAAACTGTTGAATGATCTATGGTGCCTCATTTCATTCCAACACCCAACCTGTGTTAACAGGATACTGGCTTCGATTAGACCCATCCATCATAACTACTCACCCCCCATTTTACTTAATGTTTGATTGAATTAAATTATGTTACATTTCAATGACTACCTGTATGTGTATGTGATAATCATATTTGTAAGATAATATCGTAAAATGCTTAGCACAGTGCCCAGCACATAGTAGGCACTTAATGCTTATTTCTTTCCTGTGGATACAGGTATAATAATAATAGCTAACATTTATATAGCACCTTAAGGTTTGCAAAGGGCTTTATGTTAACTCATTTGAGCCTCACAACAACCCAGTGAGGTAGATGCTATTATTCCCATTTTACAGATGAGGAAACTGAGGCATGCAGAGGTTTGTTTTTTTTTTTTTTAAGAAATAGAATTTGAATTCAGATCTTCCTGACCCCAAGTCTGGTGCTGTATTCACTGTGCCCACCTAGATACTCAAATGTACACATAATTCAAAGTATGTATAATGAATACAGATAGACACAGAAATATAACATGAATAATTCATTTCAACAAACATTAAGTGTCCACTAAATATATTCATGGCTGCACTTAGTTTTTATACCAGGGGTGGGGAACCTGTGGCCTTGAGGCCACATGTGGCCCTCTAGGTTCTCAAGTGTGGCCTTTTGACTAAATCCAAACTTAATAGAACAAATCACCTTAGTAAAAAGATACAAGCCATGTTTGAAGGGAAATTGCACCCTTTATTTCAACAATTAAAAATAAATATCTTGCTCATTTTCTTAGAAAAATAAGGCTATTTTCAAATGATCAGCTGTCACCTAAACATTCATCCCATTTTTATCCTCTAGCTTTCAAAAGCTGACAAGTTTGAGATCACAACTTTGAACTCCCTTCAAGGAAATCAACATTATAAAAAGGTCTGTAACTTGTCACATGTGACTCAGGAACTTCGTGATCATACTTTAGTGGACGGAGGCTGTGCAGAAATAAAATGCCATCCAATGGCCCCATAAAAGGGGTCATGAAGAATTGGACCCAACTGAAATGACTCAACAGCAGCAACCACCACATAGCATAATACATCAGACAGGGAATCAGGAGCCCTCAGTTTTCTAGTCCTGGCATTAACACTAAAGATCTGTGGGACTATTGTGTATTCACTTAACCACCTATTTGAAGATGAGGAGATTTGGCTCAATAATCTTTAAGATGCCTTTCAGCTCTAAGATTCCGTGGCTCTCTTAAGTGATACTGAAGACCAGAGAAGATAAAGACCAGTGGGCTGGCATAGTCAGGGAAAGCTTTGTAGAGTGAGACTTGAGCGAGGTCTTGAAGGACATGGTAGATTTGAATAGAGGGACTGAGACAAGGATTTCAGGCAAAGGGGTAGGGGATAGAGCACAGCCATTGATGCAAAGATGAATATGACATGTTCAGAAACGCACGACAGTCACTCTTGACTCATAACAGTTC